GAATGGTGACAGATTACCAAGCAGCAGTTGTTAAAAAGCATTTCTTTCATTTCCCAGTCCTTCTTATTTTTTATTCTTAAACAACGTTTTAAAACTTGTGGTTCTGGTGATGGAACCCAGGCCTCACATGTGACAGGAAGGCTCTCCAGTTGTCTCCTCAGTGTAATTATAGAGACTGTCACCTTAAATCACTGAAAGCCTCTGTCTTCCCAATTTACAGCAGGGCTGCATTCATCTACTAATTCTCTAGATATGTGATTGCTTTAGGCTAACACACACACACACACACACACAGGGGGGGGGAGAGAGAGAGAGAGAGAGAGAGAGAGAGAGAGAGAGAGAGAGAGAGAGAATAATCCGTGCATAGATAAGTTGAAGAAGCCAGTGTATGGAAGAAACTACCACCAGATTTTACAAATGATCACATGAACTTCTTGGCCATTCAACCTGAACTATTGTTACCAGAACCTAAATGTCATCTCTTGCTTAGCTTTAAAAGACACAAAACCAAAAACTGAAACCCACACAAGTCAAAACCTGGGGACAGGGATAGGGGTTGGTAGAAGGAACCAGCTAACTCAAGGGCAAGCTTGAAAACAGAATAGACTTCTCTGTCTCAAGCCTTCATCCTGTAGGGGTGTGTAGGATTGGGATTAGGGGAAGGGTAGGAAAATCCCAGAGTTGAATGGTCTTTCCTTAGAGTGTACCTCTCATCTTGTTCTCTGAAAGTCAAAGTTGACTAGAACCTAGGGTCTCCGTTTCTTTGTATATTTTGTTGTAGACAAAAATATTATTTTCTGTAAGTCGATGTTCATAGGCTGAGAAGATGGGGAAGTAGTACAGAATTTACAGTACCTGGGGTGAGGCAGAAGGGTTACAGAATTTATAGTGCCAGCATTAAAGGATGAGGGGACGAATTTAGAGAAGACAGACAGAAGTAGCAGGCTCTTCCTGCTTTGTTTGCTTCACCTGTTAAGGCAGATTAAAGTGAACCCAGATCTTCCCCTTTGCAGTGTTGTCTGCAGGGATCATAATTTTAGTACTTCCCCCATTACAATAATTATAATGTCACCTCAAATGTCATAAAAGCCCACAGATCTGCTTTTAGGACTCTGAAGCAACCAGTAGCTATGCTTATTATCCTACCTTTCCAGGTCTTCAGGTGGAATCCACAGGTAGTCGTAGTCTGGAAACATCTTCAGGGTATTTAGGGAAAGTGTAGGTTTTTTGGTGGGGACTGGGAACTTTCTGCTCACCTCCAGTTTTCTCATATTCGTCCCTCATACTGAATGTTCATCATATGCTGGCACCATTTCCATAGTCTCTTGGTGATTCTCATGCTACTCCAGTTGGGTGGACCTGTCTTCATAGCTTCTCTCTCTCTCTCTCTCTCTCTCTCTCTCCCTCTCTCTCTCTCTCTCTCTCTCTCTCTCTCTCTCTCTCTCTCTCTCTCCCTTTTTTCCTTTATTGGATATTTTCTTTATTTACATTTCAGATGTTATCCCCTTTCCCCATTCCCCCCCCCCCACCAGAAACCCCTATCCCATTCCCCCTCCTCTTGCATCTATGAGGGTGTACCCCTACCCATCCACCGCCTCCCTGCCCTCGAATTCCCCCACACTGGGGCATCAAGCCTTCACAGGACTGAGGACCTCCTCTCCCACCTATGCCCAACAAGGCCATCCTCCACTGCATATACAGCTGGAGCCATGGCTCCCTCCTTGAGTGTTCCTGGGCTGGTGGTTTAGATCCTAGGAGCTCTGGTTGGTTGGTATTGTCATTCTGTATACATTATTTCTCAAATACACAATTGCACTGATAGAATGAATTAGCACAAATGGAACAAGCCCCTTCAGCTCCTTCAGTCTTCTCTCTACCTCCTCCATTGGCTTTTGTTTCTTTATAACATTTTCAGTTTTCCTCTTCCTGCTTCTGATTCCATAAGCAGTTAGAGTATATCCTTCATTTCATTCTCATTCTTCTCCATTTCTACCTTTTCTTCCTCTTCTCTTCTTCGGACGCTGCCTTTATTCTCAGAGTAAGACACTTGAGGAGAAACTTCTCTACTGTTCCAGTTCTTCATTTGTATTGTTTCCTCAGTCATGGTGCCAAAGAAAGGCCATGGAAACTGCTTAACTTTGCTTCCTATATCTGCAGTCTGACTTTCAGCCAGTGTTTGATTTAAAATTTCTACTGACTTTTTAATTTTTTGAAGCCTCTAAAGGTTTCTGTTACTCTTTCCTCATTTTATAATTTTTAGGTGAAGTTCTTTGTTTTATTTATTTATTTATTTATTTATTTATTTATTTATTTTTATTGTTGTTCATTTTTTTGTTTTTCTAGGCATAGTGGCTCTGACTTCGTTCCTGACTCCAGCTCTTAGGTGGCTTCATAGAACTGTGGTTGAGAACTTTACCAATTGGAAGTTTTAGAATTTCTGTTTCCCACATTTGCCTTTCAGTCCTCCTGGCCTTGTTCATTTGGTTTAGATGCATCTTCTTACATAGCATGTAACATAGTATTTAAAATACTAGCATAAAGAACAACTTCCCACATTGCAGCTGTAAGCAATCAGCAAAGAGAAAGAGCCTTGGCTACTTGGAATGTCGTTCTAATAGCTCTTCTCCTACAGTGATCATAGGATCAGTTTTTGCCTTATCAGTTAATTTATTTATAGTAACTATAAAATATTATCAACTGCTGTGGAATGTTACAAGAAAGACAATGATTGAGGGATTTCTTATAAAGCTTGTACTAATGTGAGATATTATGGATAATAACCAGGAACACTAGAGTTAGGTACTTTTATTCTCAAAAGACACAAGGTAGTTCAGAAAGAAGGTCTTTCAGCTCCACTTCCTTATGTATAGTAAGAGTCAACTCTGCTTACTTTGTCTTCTCATCAGTATTTGAGAAGCAACTATTCTTGCTATCTTATCTCTGGGCAGAGAGCTGTGGAATGCATCTGACTGAGGAGAGACTATATAAGGACACACTGATAGACAAGAGAATGAAGATATAAGAACTAAATATCAGAGTTCTATATCAAGGTCCGAGGAGAGAAATTAGGACACATTCTCTTTGAGTCGACAGTACATAGTTTATAAGGTAGCCTGAAAAGTAGTGGGTGGGGTGAGGGGGAAGGTATCCTTGAGTGAGCAATTCTGATACACACAGGCTGTGTGTGTGTGTGTGTGTTACAGATAATAGGTTGATAAAGCAGAAGATAAGAAGGTTACATCAGAGCATGCTGATAAGAACTGAACTTCACTGTGTGCATCCTCTTTTCTGATCACACCCCTCAAGATGATCTCTTTTTCAAGGACACTGTCTCTTACTACCACAGCACGAGTGCTAGGCTGCATCACAGGAAGGATGTATATACAGTCAAATCATAACAAAAAGTAAATGTGTATTTTCTGTATTTTTAAAATAATAATTCCTGGGGACTGGGGAGATAGCTCAGCAGTTAAGAGCAATTATTACTCTCTTGAAGGATTTGGGTTAGACTCCTAGCACCCACATGGTGGCTTATAAACGATTATCTGTAACTCCAGTTCCAGGGGATCTACAGCTGCAACTTTCTTCTGACTTTTATAGGTACCAAGCACACATGTGGTGCATGCACATGCATGCAAGCAAAAACAGTTATACATACAAAATAAAACAAATCTAAAATAAATTAAGATAGCATATCTTAAAGGAGTCCTTGGGGGACAGCCTTGGAAAGTGACCACTATGTAAGCTGATGCATGAAGCTCTGGAATCCTAAATTCTTAAGTCTGTATTTCATTAACTCTCATCTCCACTATTTTTCCTAGATATTACACCCATTAGAAAGAACAGAATCCATGCAGAAACACAATTACAGACCAGGCATGGAACGTGTAAGAGGAACCAGGGATATCATATTGTGCCAGAAAGGAAGAATATTACAAAAGGTTCTTAGGGGGTTTGGCAACTTGATGAGATTCCCTCTAAGCAAAGATAGGAAGACATGAGAATTAATGTGATCAATGGATTAGTAGGAGTTAAATGTGCTTAAATCCACCAATTTGTGAAAGTGATTAGAAACAAAGTAAATTCAGTCTCCTTTGAAAGATACCAGAAAAACAAGCATTTTGCCAAGTAGTAAAGAAAAGGAGTTAAAATACTGAATTCCCTCTGGGAACTGCATGCCTGTGAACTGAATAGTAGATAAGGTGTTATTTTTGCCTGTAGAAGTATTTCCTCTAACAATTAAAGGATTAAAGAATCACAGTACTGCTGACACATAATTCCAAATGGGATAATAAACCTGGGAAATGTCAATGGCTGCTGTACCACAAGAAAGAAAACAAAATTTTATGTTTCCTGATGAAGATGGTCTACCATCTATACTCCTTTGCTGCTAAAACCATCAAAATAAATCTAGGAAAATTCTGGATCCTATTAACTAACTTTATATATGGGTGAAACATGCTAACATGGGGAGAATGTAATTAATGACACCCAGGTTACATGCAATGTCTACAGAATAGGCCCTTTTGATGAAAAGGGACTCAGATATAAACTAATTAAAATACATATACCTTACTTTCATCTTTGTTAGACCTAATGTTCATGAAGTCTACTTTAAAAATTATAAAATTTATTTGAAAAGTTTATAAATGGTGGATTTTAATACTGTTTAGGTATTTGGTAACAATAAGGAATTCCTGTAAATACATGTAGGTGTCCTGATAAGTATTTTTGCTGGTTGTTTTGTAAAATTTCTTGTGTTTTGAAAATATATTTTAGTATTTTCAAAATAAGAGGTATGAAATTTGAGATTTGTCTCCTAATGATGCAGGAACAAGGTGACAACCAAATAGAAATAACGATAAAACAAAAATATCATTAAATGGTTATTTTTGAAAATTCATGTGGAAGGTTTTGCACACAGTCGAGTTTTGGCATTAAAAATACACTAGCTCCAATTAAACAGATTTTAAATCTGAAACTGCTTTTTGTCTTTTCAGATGGCAAGACGAAGGTTTAAGAAGTTCAGCACTCTGGAGCTTGTGCTCATTGTTCTGCTGCTTGTTCTGTTCATCATCGCGGTGGTTCTAATCGTGCTCTTAGCCAACTCCAAGGAACCAAATGGTAACGAGTCACTCTGAGTCTCTCCCATGCCTGAGCAAACTCATCACCCATGGTAGAGACACCACGCTTTGATATCCCTTCGTGTATGTATGAATGTGAACGCATGCAGGTCGTACGTATCTTACTGATCATCTACAAACTGTAGCGGGTCAATAGACAGTAGGTCTGAATTCTGAAACTTTCATCTCCACTTTTAATCAGATCCAACTCTGTAATCTCCGAAATATATTTGCTGAATGTTATAAAAATAATTATAATTCTGTGAATATTGATAATGAACAACATGCTGTGGTAACAGAACTATGTGTACTTACTATATATCAATTTAACTATTTAAGGTGAAAAGTTGGTTCTTAATAACCTATTCATGTTATTTTTTATTAAGTGGCTTTTTTTTTTGAGCTGATGTATCTCAAAATAAGGGCTAGAACATGCTGAATGATCTGGGCTTTCCTATCAGCCTCACACAAGAATCAGTTCTTGTGGGAACCAGGCAATGAAGTGCCAGCCTATGACGACAGCCAAATCAATCTTGTCCTTTCTATTCAACTCTCAGCTACATCAATCTCTGCTTTTTGCAGAAAACAAGGATCTTTAAAAAACATTTAATTTTTAATTTTTAAAGTTTTATAATCCTGAAGAGGGAGCTAAGGCCTTATGCAGATATGGGTACAAAGACATTGTATTTAATGCATCATTTTTGATATAAAAACCTTAGTGCAAATAACAATTAGAAAAAACATTTTCTTGTTGTAATGTCTTTGCTTGTTTAAGGTCATATCTTAAATAAAGTTTCTTTTCCATTTCAGAGAACAACAAGGATGCCTTTTATGTTTTACTGCTCTTTAAATCAGAAATCAAAGTTTTGTAGCCTTGGGGTAGTTTCTAGACTTGTGTATTCCTTTATGACTTTTTTCACTTTGGAGTTTATATTTCCAAAGAATAGGACCACTTGGAAGTATCCTAATGTATTAAGTTTCACCTGAGAAAACAGAGTTGAAGTCACTGTGATTAAGATGGCACAGTTAGAGCCTTCTCTGTATATACCTCCAGTATGGGGTCCCCAGAGAATAGGTATTAGATTGTCAGGGCTAGTGAGATGATAGTTCAGTAGTAATGGACACTTGCTGCCAAGCTTGGTGATCTGAGGTCAGTCTCTGGAAGCCACATAATGGAGAGAGAAACCACTCATGCAGGCTGTCTTCTGACCTTCAGTCTTTAGATTGTATGAGTCATTCAGTTTCTGTTATCATGGGTACTATTGCCATTGGAGCATAAAGTAGTTATCAATAAATGAGTACATTTATGCTCCAAGAATCCTACATTTTTAGATATACATTTTGACCTGATTTGACCGACAGGATATGGTTTATTCATCTGGCCTAAAGGGAATTTGATGTCTCATTTTACAAGCATCTAATGATGGAGCCCTCTTCTCGTACAGACCATATCGCAGGGGAACTCTAGTGAAGAAGTAGTAGATGATGTTGATATACACAGAGGTAAATACAGTTAGCAAGAATAAAACAAGGTGTTACAAAGCAAAACTGCAGAATCTCAAGCACACTGAACTAGAGTACAGCCAAGTAGAGGAGTTAAGAGAGTTGGAAGTTCTGAGAACCCAGTCCTGTTGAATGCTTGTGGTCACAATTCTAACTGTCATTTTGTCTGCTTTTGTAATATGGTAGCCTCAGATGCTGAAACAACTGGCACTCCAGACACTACAATTACCAGGACCACTCTTAACTCTCCCAATTGCCCAGTGCTAAGTGAGCTGGAACGGATAAACTGCATCCCTGACAAATCATCTGACAAGGTTTGTGTCATGCATCTTGTTGGCATCAAAGAATTCATGTCATGGTGAAATGCCTTCTCATCATCCTTCTCTTTGTTCTTCTCCTTCTTCTCTTTCTCCTCTCCTCATCTTTCTCCTCCTCATCTTCTTCCTATAGACTTCCTCCCCCTACCCCATTTGGTAGAGAGTTGTGTGTACAACAGCTTTGGTGGCTCACATAACCTAAATCTGTACTCATGTATGTAGGGTCATGTAGCTTCAAGGGGAGAAGAGCTAGAACATATCCTTGGGTTTCCAAGTAATATCAGAATTTCAGATAAGCAATACCATATTTTTAGTGTTAAGTGTGCTCCATGTAAAGTTTTAGACAGCGAAAGTGTATTTATCTTCCATGAGGCTACACTTGATTGCAGTCCTCAACTCTCTCGTTGCCTTTCTTGTTGCTGGCAAGATGCCATTTCAAAAGGTTATCTGGGATCTACAATAAAATATCATGCATGTGAACAAAGCATGGTTTAGCATAAGGACAAAGTTTCAGCAGTTACACTTTGGAAGCAAGAAGGTAATTAACGCCAGAGTAAAGAACGTACGAGGACAGGACATGGCACTTTAGTCCAACGTTTCTAGATAACCAGCTTGCGCACGTCCAAGAGTATTATGATAATAAAGTCATCGCATGTGACCTAGCATTCACATTTAGCAAATCAAAATATTTAATTGAAAACAGAGTACAGAATTCTGAGTGAAGTCCACTCAGGTGAAACAACAGATCAGCATTAAATGCATAGTGGATGCCTGTTGCATGAGTTCTTGGACATGTGTGGTAGCTGCTCTGTTCTCACTGTGCTGTACAGGCTTCTCTGGTGATGGCTAAGTAAGACACTCATCTAGGAGATTAGCAGAATGTCAGGATGAGTCAATTTATGGCTATGTTCCTTTATTGCTGCATTTCCACTCCCAGCATCAATCGCTGCTGGCCCTCAAGAGACCTCCTCTAGTCTCCTCTGAGATTTCAATTTCTTCTCAGTCTACTTGCACATACAGTAAAACTGCACGTGCCTGACTGCTCTTTTAACACCTCAGTCTGTATATGGTGTCAAGTTTAAATAGTTTTTCCTATTATTGCAGACTGCTTAGCCTTCTTACCCTTCTGTGATCCATGATTTTAAAGACAGCTCTTGATATGATTTTAAGCTTGTCATTTATAATCAAGGCACCATTACCCTCCTTCTTGATGTAGGCTTTTACCACCAATTCCAGATTTTACTAATGGCAGAGAACAGAAATTTATAGTTAAAGTCCATATATTTAGTTTATGAAAAGGATGTTAGATAATACTTCTAAACACTTAAAAAAAACCTTAAGTTTTCAGGGTTAGGTATTTTGTGATTCCAAGGGAGAACAAATTGACACACTTAACAAAATCTTCTATCCTTTTAATCACTATGATAGTCAATTAATATGGAAGTTGTTGACATATTTTCTATAAACAGTCATGATAACCCTTGTGATATTAGAAAGGCTAACTTTTAATATTTGAAAAGGCTGTTATCTTTTATTGATTACACACTTTGCAAGATATTTACCAATTCATTGCAAGTTGTGCAATGTTTAGACATGGGACCTGAGCACCTCAAAGAAGCAGAGCTTCTGCCTGTGTTCTCATCCTGGCTCTGCTTTGAAGAACTCTGACTGGAGTACTGTCATGTTTCTTTGTCTACTCTTTCAAGTTATCAGTCAGTGAGACAGTGTGTATTCAGATAAACATATTCACTAAGCAGTAATTTTTTAAACAGCATTGCACTCTATGCTCATAACACTTTAAAGATGTATTCTCTGTTGAGAATTTCATACACATATAGTTTTGATCGCATTTACTTTACCCTCCAACCCCTTTCAGACCTCCTCATATGTCCCCTCCAAAATTTATGTCCTCCCTCACCACCCACCCCACCAGTCTTCTCTACCCTATATTAATTAAAAACTTTATAATTATAATCACAATGGTCATGAGAAATGTTCTCTGAAAATAACTTGTAGTCTGATCTGGAGACTTGAAGGTCTGGATCATGAAATGGCTGAGAAAGTGTGTTTCTTTAAAATTTTACTATCAGATCTTCCCTTGACAAGGAACAAAGTGACTATGTTAACTTTTAAAACCTTACTCAAAATGAAACATGTTATGGAACAGTATATAATCACCATATTTCCCTGATTCAAGGTCAATTTTGTTTTTTTATTGCATGCCTATTTGTGTGTGTATGTTTTGTGTGCTCACAATGTGCACAGTGTGGAAGTCTGAGGACACCTTGTAATAGTTGGTTCTCTCCTTCCATCATGTGTGTCCCAGGAATTGAACTCAGGTCGTCAGGCTTGGCAGCAAGCACTTTTACCTGTTGAGCCATCTTGTTAGCTCAAGATTGACTTTGTTTATTTTTAGTTTTTACAAAGTCGCTGTGCACACAAATGGCCAGGGACTGTTTTTGTGAGTAGATGGTAATTAGGATTCCTTTATTGTTAAATACCTTAATTTCTAAAATCCTTGTTTTTTACTAGAAAATAGGACACTTCTCCCTATAGAGATTTATTGGTCCTATGTTTTTGCATACGTCAGGTCATTCTAGGCCAAGGAACAAGAAGAGTGTTTTAATTTGTCACCACAGCAAAGTGGAGCACTGACATGAGTGAATCTTGAGCTGCAATATACTCTTAGCTCAATGACATCGCTGTCCTGGAAAGTGCTGGGTGACTGTGAGCCTATCGCTTATCACCTGACCCAAACTCTGGGTTTGACTAAACATTGCTATCTTCATACAGTTTGTGTTGCTGTAACTGAATGCCCAAGACTGGGTAGCTTGTAAAGAACAGAAGTTTACTTCTCATAGTTCTGGATGCTGGGAAGTTCATGCTGATGTAGGCCTTGCTACATTCTCATTGAGGGAGAAGGGAAAAGGCATTGAATCTCATTCACAATGTGACGTCATCAGTCTTTGGTCACTGATTAGGGGCCTCCTCTCTTAATGTCATCACACTGGAGATCCCTGAACACTGGGATTTCAACATAACACGTGAGCCACTAACATTGAACTGAACTCTGTATTCTTAGTTTGTGGCTTCTCTTTATACGTAATCTTGTGTGTGGTAAATGTGGATCAAATCCAGCAGAGGATACCAGGCCCTGCTCTATCGACCTCATTTCATTGTTTTGAGACAGATTCTTAATTGAACCTGAAATGAACTTGGCAACCAACAAATCCCAGTACTGTATTGACTCTGACCCTACAACACTGGAGTCATTAGATACACGTGGCTATGCCTGAATTATTATGTGAGTTTGGGGGATTCAGATTCCTTATGTCCACACAGTAAGACTTCTTATGCAGTGGCCTATCTCCCCATATATTTGTGATAAAGTAACTACTCCGAATTTAGTGATACACAATTATAATTACCGTATTGCCAGGGTTTTATGGGGTTGAGACCCATATCGGGTTTGACTTGATCTTTTCTATGCTGAGTGCTGCTGGCTGCAGGTGTGTTACAGGCTTCACCTTGGTGGCTGACCTACTATGGTGGAGAGATTCAAGATGAATTCACCATGCGTCTGCTACCTTGGCCAAAACAGCTAAGAAGATGCTTCTACTTGGGTGATTTCTTTTCCCCTTTGTGAAGGCTCAGAAACTCTTAGAGGGCAGAGATTATTGGCCAGGGTAATTGGATTTCTTTCCTGACAACTCAAGGCTGCAAGAGATTGGGGCAAGTTTGCCTATCCTCTTACCAGCCAGGCTCAGAAGCAGCCTCCTGCAGAATGTTAACCAAACCTATCAAAAGCCAGCAAGACTCAGTGCGATGAGCAACATCCACTGATTTATATCAACATCGACAATACTTCTTAATTTCTCATCTTCTGTTGTTCTTAAATGTCAACACAAGTAAGAGATGGACAGTGTAGAGCTTGATTTTGTTTTAAAACAGTTTCATCAGGATTTGATTTCCATAAACCTGTGAATTCAGTTTAGTCATTTGTGTGTAGGAGCTAAAGCCTAAATATACCCCCAAGACCTATATGCACCAAAAGCCTGCAGATGCTGAATGCCTTGAGTAAAATGGCTTGCCATTCATAAAGACCTCCATGGGTCATCCTTTTTACTATCATACTTATACTACTAGTCATTCTTAGATTGTTCAAGGGGCCTATTCTAATGTAAGTGCTAGGTAAAGAAGTGTTATGTTCTGTGCTTTAGGAGATAAGGAAAAAAGGCGTACAGATGCACTTGTTTAAAGTATTTTGATCCAAATTTAGTTAAATTCTTGGATGTGGAAACTTGTGGATACAGGAGACTGATTATGTGTGTTATGTAAAAAGTAAAGTGTACATTTTTAATCTACATTTTCTATCATAATCTACTCAGGGCTGTGCATTTAAAATAATCCATTATGCTCTATCTCAATTTTATTTCTATGATTTAAAGATCTTTTTCTCCACATGTATTGATTCGTCTTTCTTGGGTATGTGTCATATCTGACCTGTGATATCTTCCTGGTGGGCTAAAGGGCTTCCTATCAGCTGTGAGGCTGGGTTGAGTTTTGAGAGTCTTGTCTTACATGAATGTTGCCCTTAAATCACCATTTCTCTCACTTGTTGTACTTGGAGACTTTGTGAGCTCGAATGTCAGATGTGTCTGTTACAAGGCTTTTTTAACGGATTGTTTCTTTAGCTATAATTAGACTTCTTTCCCCTTTTAGCATATTAATTGTACAAAGCATAGGGCTTCACTGTGGCCTTTTCATGGTCTCTCCCTCAACTGTATACTCATCCGGTTTCCTCCTGTGTCATTCCCTCTTTTACACTCCAAACATTTCACCTTTCGTTGTTACATCCTTTCCCCTATCAAATCCACACAGGAGAGAAAATGTTCAACATTCACTGTTGTGAATCTTGTGTCTTCGTTCAACATCATTTATCTGTTTATTTTTGAGATAGGGTCTTACACATCCAGCATCACTGGCCTGGAGTTCACTCTAGCTGAGGGTGACCCTGAATCTATGATTTTTCTAAATCACCACCCTAACATTGGGATTATAAGCATAAGTTACTGTGCCTGGACTATGATGCCAGGGACCAAATCTGCCAGGGACTGAACTAGGGCTTTGTCCCACCAACAGTCCCCATCATGATGTCTTCAGATATTCAAGCCACATGATGCCATGACTGCTTTTCCTAGGGAGTTTTTCTTTCTTTTTGTGCTTTACTCTCAGCCTTCTTCCTTTTCTTACTTTGAGATCGAATGTCTCTTCCTCGCCTTTTTTTTTGTTTTTTGCCCCACAATGTATTAGTGGTAACACATTCTATACTGTTTGGGCAGAATCTATTAAATGTTAATTCTCACATTGAAGTTGGCATTTTGTATCTGAAGTCTACTTTCCTTCTGTGCACCTTTCTCCTTCCATGTCACTGATCTGTCATCATAGCATCCCTCAGCAGTTGTTTCCTGAGGTGTTCCATAGCTTCAGACCATTCCCTATCAATGTCTCCTGGCATCTCCTCCCACTTCTCACTGTTGCTCAGCTCTGAAGCAGGAGCTGATATTTCTGAGTCAATGAACAGAGACTTCATGTCCTTGTTACTTTTGTCGCTCAGAGTTTTGTTCTTTCCTACTCAGTGAATAAAATTATTAATCTCTGATTTTATATAGAAATCACTCTACTTGATGTTCTTCCCAACACCTTTTCTGTTTTTCTCTGTAATCTGAGGTTTCATCTGAATGCATTTTGAAAAGAAACATCAGGGGAAGAGGTGGAGAGCCTTTGAGGCTGCTTGGCAAGAATCTGACATTGGCCAAGGACAAGGAAATGGGCTTCGGGCAGGAATCTGACATTAGGCTAGAACAAAGAAGTAATTTCAGGCAGGAATCTAAATCTTAGGCTAGAACAAAGAAGTAATTTCAGACAGGAATCTAAATTTTAGGCTAGAACAAGGAAGTAGGCTTCAGACATGAAAATGTCCTTGGGTTAGGACAGGGAAGTAGGCTCAGATACTTTGGTCATCCTGATAAGCCCTTAGAAACAGTGATCATGGAAGTGTTCACGTAACTTGGTTTAATGACTTGATTTTTCTTTGACTATTTGTGTTTATTGTCTTGCTTGTTCCTTGACTATTTGCATCTATTATATTGCTAGTTCCTCAACCTAGAACTGACCTTAATACATACATGTAACTAAAATGGTATAAAAGCATAAATGAGGAGGAGGAATGGGAGACGGGGTTCTAGGGAGGGGAAATGGGGAAAGGGGATGACATCTGTATTGTAAATAAATAAAATATCCAATAAAAATTAAAAAAATAATGTAAACATTTTAATAAAGTATATTAATATTTAAAGAAAAAAGAAAGGAAACATCAAAACTGCAATTGCTGTTTTAAGTTTATATACCACAGTAAAATTTGCTCCCACAGCAAGAGAGGCGGCATGTAGACATTATTTTTTTTTCACTCTCGAAACAGATTGGACATTCTTACTTCAGAAATCCAAGACCTGGCATGCTGCTCCAAAATCTGAAAGATTTTGAGTACTGCAAGTCATGAAACATTGTTTCATGGGGGAAAAATGTAAACGTATTTTACAAATGCTGGGGCTATGGTTGGGTAGTATTGTGCTTGCCTACCATGCAAGAAGTCCTAGGTTGAACACTAGTATGCAGAAAGGGAAAGGGATCCAAAAAGTCTTTCACCTTTAGGTTATAAATATTATTATATAATCATGATGAAGATTGTGTTTAGAGCATTCTGTCCTTAAAATACTTTATCATATAAAGATAAATAATCCAAAAGTCTGAGAAAAGAATCTGAAATTCAAACCATTTCTTGTTCCAAACGTTTTGTATAAGGAATACTTAACTTGTATTGGGTATTAATATAAAAATTAGCATTTGCTTCAGTGTAATCATTTATATATCGCACCAGTTTTTTACTTGCCATCTTTAAGATATTGACATATTTTCATTAACATGTATCTAGTGAATCTCAGAACACAGGGAACAAAGAAATGGAGAGTTCTGACTTTCATTTCTCTATTGCTAAGAAACCTTTGGCAGGAATTTCACATCTGTAACACTTCTGTGGACTTTGAGTTACATATCTGTAAAACACTGTGACAGGATATATTAATCATCTATTGCTATAGAATACATTATCCCCAAAGATAATGGCTTAATGGAATAAGATGTATTTTCTCATGGTTTCTATATTGAAAATCTGACTGTCTTTGGTTTGGTGGGGTAATCCTACCTCTGAGATTCTCAGAAGCCACATTAAAAGTGTCTTCTGACATCATGCTGACTCTTATAGCTTACCCATGTGGGTTGCCATGATTCCTGTCTATGGAGCGGTTATACTAAGAATCCTGTCTTGAGTTCCTTGAAGCCTGATCCCTTTCATGATAAAACAGCTTGCTTTTCCCATAGTTGAGGCTCTAATGGAGAAACCAAAAAAGAATGAACAAGACCAAAGCTACCTTCTGTCAGTAAGACAGACAGAATCTAGGGAGTGTCATCCTACTGTTTCCTATTTGTTGCAAGACACTAGTCTCAAGCCCAAACATACAAGGACAGATTTCTTTGCACTGTTGATGTTTATTTTGGATGTTTCTCCTAAATTAGGTGCATGAGGAAAGAGAATGTACTCATTTTAGCTTCCTCTAAACACAGACATCAATTATGGTATAGGCAGGCACATTCCTTAAGGCAAAATTATGCACTGGAAAGATTACTTTCTGTCTTGTAGGGAGTTGAGAAACTTGTCACGTGTGGAATATGCGTACATATGTACAGATGTATAATATACAGATTTAAAAGCATCTTCTTTGAGCCTTTAAAAAAAAAGTATGGCATTTCCAACTAGTCCTTCTGAAAGTTCCAACAAGACAAAACTGGGGATACTCTTAGACATGATAACATGGGAATACCTTTAGACATGATAGACCTGGGACACACTTAGACATGATTTGTCTTGACTTCAGACATCATATTCTGCTGTTGCATTTGTATTTTGAATATATTTAGTTCATACACAGAGATACCCAACAAATGTTGATACCACTGCACTCCATATACAAATAAACAGTATATAAAGTCAAATCAAAATTGGTTTGATTTGAAAGTGTCTGAAGAGATTTGATTGCAAAGTCTTTTTATATTTTGTCATTTTTACAATCCAAAGGTAATAATTAATATACACGAGGCTCCATTTTTATTTTGGGATACTGGTGATGTAACTATATTATGGTTTAGGATTTTAAAATATATTTACCAGCTTTTGTGTGTGAAGCATACATTGAGTTTCTTACAGCCATTTCATAAGAACATGGACAAGGAAAACTGTAGAAGTTCTGTGCCTTGATGTTCTGCCTTAGGTCTCAGTTGTAAAAGTGAAGTTGTTGACATCACAATCTCAATGAACTGACTTGTAGTTCCTAAAAGGTAATATTCTATGACTAAATGGAGTTGATCGGGCTAATCTCTGTTTCAGGCCACATGTGATGAGCGTGGCTGCTGTTGGGATCCTCAGGGATCTATCAGTCTTCCTTGCTACTATTCCAGAAATCATGGCTACAAAATGGAGAGTGACTCTGTAGACACAAATGCAGGTATGCTGAATGTAGAACCCTAGGCCTGGAGGCTTGGCTCCTTCCTAAGGGACTTCTGAAACAACACACAGAGTGCTGTCACACTGCCCATGTGACAAAGGTAGGCACAGTGATTAGATCCTATTTGGCATCAAGGAATAATTACCTTCTGCCTTAGGAATTCAGAGATTTTATTTGGTTTCTGGCTTCCACCTTTTTTTTGGTATGTATCTCTTTCTTGTCTTTTCTTTGTATATTAAGATCTATTTATTTTCTTTTTCTTTACTATTCTCCCATACAATATGTATCCTGACCAGAGACTTCCTTTCCTCCCCTCCTTCCAGCCCTTCCCCCACCTGCTTTCTTCCTCAGATTCACTGTTCCTTCATTTCCATTCAGAAAAGAGCCAGCCTCCCAGTGATAGTAATTACACACGGCACAACACGATGCAACAAGACTAGGCACAAACCCTCTCATATCAAGGCTGGAGGAGGCAACCCAGTAAGAGGAAAAAGGATTCTTGAGCAGGCAAAAGAATCAGAGTTCTCCCAGTCCCATTGTTTAGGAGTCCGACAAACACTCCAAGCTAAACAACCAGAGCGTGTATGCAGAGGTCTGGCCTCACTTTGATGACTTCGTATAATTATCATGGCAATTTTTATTCTCAAGTTTATTATTTTTAAAGTCTAGAATTTGAAGTTAATAATCCCCCAGATTCCTTATGGCTCTATTCTGGTGTTGCTTTCATGATATGGAAAGAGCTGCAACTATATAAGCATGCTTCAGAAGTTACCTAGTTAATGACAGTCTTCATGGGCTAATAGTCTTCCTATCCTTAAGCAAAGAGCACCATGATGAGTCCTCTGGGAGGAGAGAGATAGTGGGTACTACTGTGGAGAAGCTCCTAGTGTAAGAGGTGGGGCTCTTCAAGGCTGAAGTCTTCAATTGCTGTTTATCTGAAGACATGACTTCAGTGTACAAGATACTGTATATATTGAGAACCTAATTGAGAAAAAATAAAAACTGAGGACATAAAGGTGTGGGATTGACATGGGATGATCAATGAGCACGAAGCATAAGAATTAGTCCTTTGGGTTATATTTTCACCCTGTACTTATTGAAAAGGGATGTGGACTTTTGGATAAGGTATTAAGGGCTTCAGGGTCCAGTTCAAGATGAGATGGGTATATAGGGCATATGTATCTGTATATTCCCTTCTTTGAGAAACAAAAGTGTTTGTTTCCTTGACCAAAAGCTTAATTTTATGTAGCCATTATTTACAAACCAAGTATGAACATATTTTTCTCCTCCACATGTTAGGATTCACAGCTGCACTGAAGAACTTACCTTCTGCACCCGTGTTCGGAAATGGCATCGAGAACATCCTGCTTACAGCAGAGTACCAGACATCGAACCGCTTCCACTTTAAGGTTGGAGCTTGTTCGCTTTTGAAAATCTTTTAAAGGGTCTCTTATAACCTCATAACTGTGGTTCCTGCGAGGGAGAACATTTTGTGGTTATGTGATGCTGGTTTGGGGAGGGTCTTCAATAACTTTTGTTCTGTGCTGAAACTTCCTCAGTACATACTGAGTTTACCAATGAGCTTTCAGTTTCCACTCATTTGTCATAGATACCATGGGAATTGTAGAAGGGAACAAGACGATGCCACAGCTTTGAACTTTCTATGGGGACTCCGTGTCCTCGGAATCACAGTGTACCTCTACCCGAAGACTGATGTATGCCCAACAAATAAGCTCATGAAGCTGGCAATGTTGCAACCACATTACTTTAGATATAATGTCAGTTTGATCGCTGTCCAATTTCCAGGTCTATCTGCATAGAAAGTACTGGTGTTGGAAAGGCCACTGATGGTTTTGAAAGTTAGGTAAGTTTTCACTTGAGCTTTGTTTCTATTCTTCTCTCTGTGCAGTTGACTGACCAAACCAAGGACAGGTACGAAGTGCCCCATGAGCATGTGAAACCCTTCAGTGGAAATGCTGCTTCTTCCTTGAACTACAACGTTGAGGTCTCCAAGGAGCCATTTGGCATCAAAGTCACCAGAAAAAGCAATAACCGTGTGCTGTAAGTTCTGGAAACTTGGGTACTTCCCTTATCCCAGCTCTCTGTCTGGTCCTGGAGATGCCCCCCACTTCCTCATACCTGTCAGTTGCAGGTTTCCATTCATTTTTATGACCATCTAGCCATCTCTCCTGTTCTTCCCCACACCTGATCCTGGACCTCCCATTTCCCTCTCCATTCCCTGTCTATCCCAGTTCCCTCCCTCCATCTGCCTCTTACGATTATTTTATTTACCCTTATAAGTGAGATTCAAGTTTCCTTGCTTGGGCCTTCCTTCTTGTTTAGCTTCTTTGGGTCTCTGGAGTATAACATATTGCCTGTATTTTATGGCTTATATACACTTATAAGTGAGAACATACTATGCATGTCCATTTGGGACTAGGTTACCTCACTCAGGATGACATCCTTAAGTTTCATCCATTTGCTTGTAACAGATGTGCAGCTTGATCTTCATGTGGGTCCTGAACAACTGGAACAGGAGCTATCCCAAAAGCTGTTGCCTATATGTGGGTTATGTTCTACTAGCTGGGTTGCCTTGTCTGGCCTCAGTGGGAGAGGAAGCACCTAGCCTCACAAAGACTTGAAGTGCCAGAGGGGGGCATACTCAGGGGTATAAATGAAATTAAAAAGTTTGTAAACTTATCATAGGGGTGGCAGTAGGAAGATGATGATAAGGGGAAGTGTGTAAACTGCTGACCTTACTGTGCTCCAAGCACGAGTGCGTGCATGCGTGCGTGTGTGTGTGTGTGTGTGTGTGTGTGTGTGTGTGTATAGTCGTCCTTCTTTTTACTTTCTTTTGTCTGCACATTTTTCTTTTCCCCTTTGCCCATCTACCTAATCACACAAGTACCAATCAAGACTTATTAAGGGTCTATGATCATTTGAATACAGTGCTCTGGTTGTGTTGTAATGTGTCTAAGGACCAAGCAAGGGTTGTACCACAGTCATACCTGGCCTGGAGATGTTTTCCCTTTTGGGGGCATGTCAGCAGAAGGCTTGGAGAGGGAGTGTTGTGCTGGTGAGCTGAGGAAAGCACTTGTCTATGCTGCTGTATCCTTCTCTCCCTACTTTTCACTCATGACTGTGTTTCCCTCCCATGTTTAGGTTTGACTCAAGTATTGGGCCCCTTCTCTTTTCTGACCAGTTCCTGCAGCTTTCTACCCGCCTGCCAAGTGCTAATGTATATGGTCTGGGTGAACATGTGCACCAGCAGTACCGACATGATATGAATTGGAAGACGTGGTCCATGTTTGCCAGAGACACAACCCCGAATGAGGTAAGCTTTCAGGCCCCTTTCCTCGGAATATCACAACTTTAACCTATAGTATAGTTGTTTAGAGTGAGAACCTCCAGTGAAGCTGTTTTGCATTTTAGATCTTCTACTTATCAACTATATGATTCTGGGCAAATTGTTGGGTCTTTGGTTTCTCATCTATAAAACTTGACAATGACAGGGGCTTAGCCAGCTTGTTCAGGGATTGTGAAACTTAAAGTGAGGTTCATGTGGTGGTGATGGTTAAATTACTGAAACATGTACAGTATCTAGAAGAATAAATGTCTCATAGAACATGCTCAATATATTTCCCATTGAAATCAAGTTAAGAGCCCATGGTAAACTGTCTTTCAGACAGCAGAGACAGCACCTTATCCTCACCCTGTCTCACTTAAACACTTGCCTGCTTCCCAAATATCTATCAGAAAAGTGGAAAATGTGTTGAGAGAGCAGTTTACGTAGAACAGCTGGTGATGATGACCTAATTTAGAGCTTTAGCCCTTTGCCGGTCAAAGCGTAAACCATGAACAACACCAAGGGGCAGTGTGGACTTTTGGCCCCATTAGGGCTCTGTATGGTGATTATTTATATTAAAACTCAATAGACCACTTGCATATAAGGTTAAGTTGGGATCAGGCAGATCTTTTTGAGAAAAGAGATTCTATGAACTGTAGTTTCAGAATTCTTATCTTTTCATATTTTAACAAAGTCAAGATCTCTGTATTTGTACTAGAATTGTCACTTGTTAACATCCTCTGAACAGAGATCTGAACTCATAAAGTTCATTGGCATCTTCATTGAACACAATGTGATGTTTAGACTAATTGTAAATATTTATTTTTCAACTGTCTTCAACAGGACGGATATAACTTGTATGGTGTGCAGACATTCTTCCTGTGCCTTGAAGATAGTAGTGGATTGTCCTTTGGGGTGTTTCTGATGAACAGCAATGCCATGGGTAAAGGACAAAGGAATAGTCTCAAATAAACAAGCACAGGATGTATCCGTGACCCCTTTATAACACTGTGTTTAAATGAGGGAATCCATTTCCCAGCCTTTAAAGCATGGCTTTGGGATGGCTGTGTTCTCTAGCTTTACATCCTTTCCTTGCTGCCTAATGGGAGCTATGCACAAAATGGTTCTTCTCGCTTCTCAGCTACTGAATCTGGTTGCTTGCATTGATATATTTGCTGTTACAAAGTTAGGATAATTCTTCCTGTAATCTACTGTGAGACAGGTTCTTGAGCATGATCCCTCCTTAGTCCTACATTAAGTGATCTTGACTGGGAGTTCTAGCACAGTCACCACAAGGGAAGAAAAGAAAGATCAACATCTCCCAGGGTTAATGGTGGGCATAGGATATTTAGAATTGTTGGTTTAGATCAGTGCTACTCAAAGGTAGGGTTCACACAGCACCCGTATAAGATGAACATAGACATTGAGAGTAAGCATTGATTTAGCATCCAAAGGTCTGCATAAGCCTTTTTTCATAATCAATTTTATGCTCTTTTGTAGATATACTGTTTAACAGAATAACTCTTAAATATTCTTTTCTTTTAATCTTTTAAGAGGTTACCCTTCAGCCTACCCCAGCAATCACATACCGCACCATTGGGGGAATTTTGGACTTCTATGTGTTCTTGGGGAACACACCTGAGCAAGTTGTTCAAGAATATCTAGAGGTAAATATGAAATCATGGTTGTGACTAAAGGAATCCTATGTAGCAAATATTTAAGAGATGTAAGTTTAAACAGACATGTGAGCTAGACACACTTAAGCTGAAACATGTAAAAGGCAGGACAGATTTTGTCTATGCAATGGAAATTTCTTTATAAAGTTTTCATAGTATAAAAAATGTGAAAGGATATAAAGATACCCCAAATGTGGCCTTACCCTTATAAGGGGATGTACAAGTTGATTAACATTATGATGTTAATGACTCAATATACTGGAAAATTGAACATGTTTTGTGCCCCAAACCAATGCATAAAAAGGCTTTGTTTTAAAATGTATTGTGCTGATGAGATTATTTAATTGGTAAATTGCTAGCTGCATGAGCATGAAGACCTGTGTTCAGACACTCAGCACTTATGTAAAAGGCTAGGTGCACACATGTAATCTCTCTGGGGTGACAAGAGACGGGGGGACCCTTGGGGTGAACTCATCAACCATTGATACAGCGGGACCAATCAGTGAATTCCAAATTGAATGTGAGGGAGACCTGACCTTAAAGTTAAGATATAGAGCAAGAAAGACATGCTACATAGACATCTGTCTCCCTCATGCACTCCCACCATCTGCGTGCTAACTTTCATTTCATGTATTTCTTCTAGCTCATTGGACGGCCAGCTCTGCCTTCATACTGGTCACTTGGGTTTCAGCTCAGCCGGTATGATTATGAAACCCTAGACAATATGAAAGCAGTCGTGGAGAGAAACCGTGCAGCACAACTCCCTTATGTAAGTAAGCTTGAACATAGTACCCTGAAATCCAAGGAGGGAAGAACAGGAACAGCCTCTGACTTCCCCATACTTCTTTCTCTATGAGTTTTTTTTTTCTGTTTTGGGTAATAAAATGAATTTTTACGCAACATATATATATATATCAGCATATATAAACATAACACATGCATAAACATTATATCATGTAAACATTAATAATAAATATTATTAATATTATATATTATATAAATAATATATAAATATTATATAAACATAATATATGCATATATATATACATATATATTGGATTGTTTTGGCTTAAAAATATCATGTTAGAGGTTCACTATAAAGGTGATATGCAGTTACTCAAAGACCTTGGTATAAGCTAGATTCTCAGATTTTGTGTCAGGTAATGCCTGATTCAGGCCTTCCATCTCCCTATCCCTTACAGTTTAATACATTTTAACAAATATTTCGTGTGGACATTGAAGAGGAGAAGATATTTCTAGATTTCAAAGAGTTAGGCAACATGTGCACACACACACACACACACATACACACACATCACTCCCTCACAAACATATGCACACGCATACACTAACACAAACTGGTTCAGGCCCAAGTTATCTAAATTGACCCTTTTTTCATGCATAAGAAACTGAAGCAAAATTAGGGAAATAATTTGATTTTAACCATTTTCTTAGCCTGTTGGCTAAGAATTCATAGTTAAGTTGATTTACAAAATCAAGTGACAAGGTCGAGGTGCATTTGTTTCACACTGGTATTTTGGCTGCTGTTCATTAGTTAGGGAACAGGATTTTCTTCCTGCATACTGTGATCATTTTGTATTTGAAACAGAACTTCAGTAGATATTTTTGAATTGGGGAAGAAAATGTGAGAAACATAATGTACAAGAAGTGAGACTGAAAGCTCTCAGGATGACTAGGGGAAGGCAGTAATTAGTTGTGATTTGGGTGAGTGACTCAACTCTCTTTTGGCCAAAGATCTGGCTGGCCTCTCTTGTCTTCTAGCCCTCAGGACTGTGTCTCTGGGGGTGAGAAGGAATGCTAGACAGAAACAGTGGAGGCAGAGCTGATTTAAGGAAAATGAAGCACAGCCAGCACAGTAATGAGAATGTCAAGTGTCTTCTGTACTTACTTCAAAATCCCATCCACTTAGCTGTAGATAGCAGAAGGAACAAGATTGCCAGTTCAGATCTCTAGCACCATCGCTGCTCTCTGCTCTGTATGGTTCTTCTTACAATACATGCAGATATTTCCTTCCTGGATAATCTACGGAATGGAGGAACAGGATGTACTGTTGCACAGTGGTATAAGGTGTGAAAGAAACTACTGAAATAACTCAGAGTTGCATATGGGTGTTCACTCTTAAAAGTTTCAATAAAGCATAGAGTATATGTTGTACTTAAATGTTTGTGCTTTGAGTGACTAATTTTGAATATTTCTGATATAGTGGAGGCTGTAATGGGAAATTAGCTTTCATGAAGACATAGAAAGAGAAAATGTTAAAAAAAAATCTCTAGGGTAATCCTGTTCTGTTTTCCTCTCCATGTCCTGGTCATAGACACAGTCTAAACTTCGTTTGGGTGCCAGTATTTTCATATAAAGCTAGGAAAGAATAAATGTCAATGAATTATAGTAGTGATAACAAAAACAGTTATTGGGATGTGAACAAGGAAGAAGGGAGAAGAGAAAATCCCTCCTTCTCTTTATCTTTGGCATAGGGTGAGTTTTATTTTTATAGCACCAGTGATTTGTCATAAATCGTGCAGTTGATCTGATTGCAGGGGTGGGACTTATCCTTAGGAATATAATAAAGCCATTCATTTCTCAAACCTCTCTGGGAAATAGTGCATTTGAATAACATGGACTTACAGTACTGCATTTAGATTCCAGCACAGCAGTTGGCTTTTATCTTGAATAGTAAAGGTCATAATTTGTTGGTTTCTTTAACGGGAAAATGTGTAGATGATCAATTGTGGATGCCGGTATTCTTTCAGGATGTTCAGCATGCTGATATTGATTATATGGACCAGAGGAGGGACTTCACTTATGACCTGGTGAATTTTAAAGGCTTCCCAGAGTTTGTTAAGGAGCTACACAATAATGGACAGAAACTTGTTATCATTTTGGTATGTGTTTCCGTTTTCCCTCCAAAATCAGGTGTTGTTCATCATTTTCATCATGTGCCCTTTTCCCTCCTTGCCATCCAAAGAAATGAAAATATTGTAATGCCTTCACTGGTTATATTTGAATGTGATTATTTTATTGGTGACTTTTTTTGAAGTCCAGTCTTTAGCTTAAAGTAAGTTTTTCATTATGTTTTCCTGTTTCTTAGGATCCAGCCATTTCCAACAACTCATTCTTAAGTAATCCCTATGGCCCATACGACAGGGGTTCAGAACTGAAAATCTGGGTGAATAGTTCTGATGGCATCAATGCACTCATTGGAGAGGTAACAGTGGAGAAACTGTGGCTCTGGTTCTGGCTGGGTTTGAGTGTATCTGGATAAGTATGTGTTTTTTTGGTGCATGTTCAAAGGACTTGAGAATACTGAGGATAAATTTTTCCTTACATTTTTCATATGCAAATACCTATAATCTACCCTAGCTTTTACATGCTTTTCTTAGCCAGATCCCATTAAATGGCAACTCACAGAATGTCTACCTCCTCACTTTGTCCCCTCATGTCACTATACTCCTCCTTCTCACAATGTTCCACTGACATTGCTTGGTAAGTGGCCTTAGTCACCTTCTACTAGGAAAATCCAGTGGATATAGGCCATACCACTCAACTCAGTTTCTTGTCAAAGAGCACTTTAAAAAATATTTTGTTGTCTTCTTATTCATGAAGGTATTATCATCTGTCTTACCTTTAATATGCTTGCCCTCCCTCCATACTATAGTGTCTGAAGGAATTGGATTGAGAAAGAATAGAGAAATGTAACTAATATTAGAATCTACAGATTGTAATGGGGCAATTGAAATTTATACGTAACATTTCTATGTTCAATTTGTAGACTTCAAAGTAGAGGAAGTAACATAGTATTGTATACCAGAGTTGAAGACTAGGAAACTAAACAATGTTTTTTATCTTTGGATTAATTCATTTAAATAGTCAATCAACATTTTAAAAAGTATTTCTCTCAGGTGGCCTTTTACTTCCCTTGAGAGTGGTTGATTCTCTAAGAGAGTTTATGCTGAGAAGATTTGTGGTTTTTGCCTCTGTCACCATGATCACATAGGAATGCCTACATAAAGTTCTTTGCTTATTCTACATTCATTTAATTTATTATTAATGCTTTCTCTTTTCATCTTTCACAGGTCTGGCCTGGAACAACTGTGTTCCCTGATTACACCAGTCCCAAATGTACTGATTGGTGGACAAACGAATTTGAGCGTTTCCACCGTGTAGTAGAGTTTGATGGAATTTGGATTGTGAGTTTTAAGACTTACTCATAGAGACATTAACAGTGTGAAACTCTGGCTTTGACTTTGAGCCATGTAGTATATAAAAATATAAAAACAAGTGTAACATATTCCTTATATTGTCATAAAGTACCCGGACTTTTCATTTCAAGTTGAGGCTTTTTAAATTTTGACTTGATGACAGATTAACCAGAACCAAAGTACGCAGGCACAAAGTACCATCTGACTGTGTTAAGGAGTAATAGCTCATAAATCAAATGAAAATGAATGTAACACAGGTTAACATTAACCAATGTTAAATAAGATTTTGGCCTACAGTTGAAATTTTTCCATTTATAAAAGAACTGTAGAAGATTCACATAATACAATCAGCTAAAAAGATAACAGCAAAAATTCTGTTATAAAAAAATTATAGCACCTAAAGATGGATACACTGTCCCACTCTTTATGTATATATTTATATATGTACCTATATGGAGGTAGATTCACAGTTCTATTTAGGCACATAGATATTATAGGTTGAAACATATGACAGCAAATATACTGAAACTTTTGATAATATATTTAGGAATTGTTTACTTTCAGTAATTATAAATATGTATCCTTTCAAAGTTATTCTAAGAACTTACTCTGTGAAATTTTCAGTGAGTAGAGAAGACAAGAACATATTTTTACTGTATCCATGGGGGTACTCTTTTTTTTGTTCCCCCATGGGGTACTCTTAAAAATAAATATCTACACTAATTTTTCTGATTTATCAGAAAAAAAAAGAATAACACTAGTATTAAAAACATGGCATCCTACTTTGCCTGATAGATTTTTGTTCTCTGTCTGGTAGGATATGAATGAAGTCTCCAACTTTGTTGATGGTTCAGTTTCTGAATGTTCCCAAAACAACTTGAATAATCCCCCATTCACACCAAGTAAGTCATTGTGGTTAGCTTGATTGACATGGCACAGTGTGTGTGATATTTTAAATTTAAAAGGATAGACTTGAACCACTGGACAAGGGAGTTTGAACATAATGTTTACAGTGAAAAGGAAAATATGGGAGCTACATATAGAAAACTAGGGAAGGGTTTCAATATATTGTCTATGGTTATCTGAAGAGGCATGCATTCTCGATGGGTAATCTAGTCCTTCTATGCCCGGTCTAGGCCATTGTAGGAAAAAGTGCAAAACACATACGATGCTGATTCCAGAGGCTAGTCCTTAGTTAGTGCCACTGTCAAGATGAACCTCATAGGCCAGAGCTTACAAGAAATACTAGGAAGAGGATAGCTTTGATCTTTAGGTGAGGGATACTTCTGGTGCTGTTCACAGCTTGAAGGGTGGGCATGAACTATATAGTCAACTGAAGTCAGACTTCTGAGGATATGGCTGTGGAACTATAGGATTAACTGTAGTTTGAAGAAAGACACAGAACCAAGAAGAAAATTGTGTTTTCATCAAGAATGGAACAAAACTTCGAGGACTACAATAGCTATGGTCATTTCAATCTGATAGCAAACTAGGAACTTGAGGCAGATGTAGGTGAGAATCAAATTTTGAAGAGATTTGATGGACGGCCAAACAGTTCTCACTTAATTCTTTCAGTGATAGAAGCTATTTATAGTTTTGTTATGGGTTTTAGGGTTGCCAACTGGTTTTTAGAAGTGTTAATTTAGCATTAACACTTATAATGGATTTCTAAAAGTAGGTCATAAGCAAATAAATTATTAAGAAGCTATTTTAATCAATAGAACACACAGTCCATTTCTGTGGGAGCCACAGTGGTACAGGAGGAACAGAGAATTTAAGAATGGAACTAAGACTAGAATCTCTCTATGCAATATATGATCAAGGGCAAAAGGAGTCAGATGTTAAATTACATTTTCACCTAATGCTTGATATTTTGAAAGAAAACTCAGATGGAAATTCTAGTTGAATTAGGTTATCTTTTCTGTGTCTGACAACAAGGGGTGTGTGAATGACACAATGTATTTTTGTATCAGAAAATTACATCCATTAGATGGTCTCCTGCTGATAAGAACACAGCATGTTGATGATGATAAGAACACACAATTAAGGCCTGCCCAGTGCAGCCATTTTTGCAGGTTATACTGTAGTTAAGAAGTAAGAAGTCGGCATCTAAGGTTTTCCCTGACTGGATATTCATTGTTGTTGCTGTTGGCGCAGAGGTCCTGGATGGGTACTTGTTCTCTAAGACTCTCTGCATGGATGCAGTTCAACACTGGGGGAAGCATTATGATGTCCACAATCTGTACGGATATTCCATGGCCATTGCCACAGCAGAGTGAGTCCATTATTATTATGAACTTATATGTAATTAAATTATAGATATGTTAGAGGCTTGGTGACTCATATATAGTATTTGTTAAAAGTCTAAATGAAAGATAAAGTGGGGGCAGGATGGCATTCTGGTACATAGGGCTCAGCAGTTAAGAGCATGTCTCCTAGAGGACCTTTATTTGGTTTCCAGCACCCACATTGGGTGGCTCACAACTGTCTGTTAAATCCAGGTTCATGGAATCAGATTCACTCTTCTAGTTCCCTCTGGCTCCTGCATATAATGTGCATATATCCAATGTATACAGGCACACACACACACACACACACACACACACACTTAAAGCTGACAAAAATATTAAAAAACATGGTTATCATTACTGATGAAAAAATTGTCATGCAGAGAATAAGAAATCCAACAAATATTTACACAATACATAAAAAATGAGATAACAAATGAGTAAATGAATGAATAGAAAATCAGAAGAAAGCTATTAAGAAATGTATCAAGGACAAGTATCTAAAATATTGCAAGCATCATTTAGGCTTTTCTCTCTATGCACTTTGTCTTTCTACATTTTGTAAAGTAAAGGATGTAGAGGGTCAAGTGTCTTGTAGATATCCATGGGCTTTGAGGTTTTAGCCTGGACCCACAGACTTTGTATGAAAATAAATTCTATAATGATAGAGATGTAATGAGAATTTTTTTCTTACTGTAACTTTGAGAGCAAGAAACAAGGCCAAGGGGCCAAGCACACACCATTGATTAACAAAGTAACAGGTTTAGTTTTAGCCATTTGGAGACAAATGGAGAAGTTCTACAGTCTTATTTCTTCAGTGCAGGAGAACTCAGTGCTTTAACTGCTATGCAAGTGCTCTACTATTGAGCTACAAAGTCAGCTCTGTACAGGTTTTTACTAATGTGCACATATGCAGACCTTCAACTAAAAATCTTTTATGCATTTAATTACAAAATACCACATTTATACTTAATTTTAAAACATATTTGTTATAAAATTATTACCAAAGTATCATTCTACATATAACATTCAAAAGTAATGTTGATAAGCCCACTTTTGTTTTGTTTATTTGGACTTGTGACAGATTAATGTATTTCTTACTAAGATTATGTTTCTCTTTTGTTTTATGAAATTCATAAACCTCTAGTTCTCAATTCTTTCAAGGCCGCTTTTGAAGTTGTAGGAAATTATGAGTCCAATGGCCTGTATAAAGCAAAGCTAAGGAAAATACAAATACATGCCACGGTACATTCTTCTAACATTTCCTCTAACAATTTTTTAAGAGAGGAGTGGAGGATAATGAGATGCCTGTTTTTGTTTTTGTTTTTTTTAACTATTCTTGTTATTGTGGTTCTACCAGCTGAGCTCCCCACTGATCCCTAAATCCATCCCTTCCCAGAGCCATGAAGATCCTGTTCCCAGAGAAGAGAAGCTTCATCCTAACACGTTCTACCTTCGCTGGTTCTGGCAAATTTGCAGCCCACTGGTTAGGAGATAACACTGCCACCTGGAAGGACCTTCAGTGGTCTATCCCAGGCATGCTTGAGTTCAACCTCTTCGGTATCCCAATGGTGAGTCCCTTTCCCAAGCTCTCTTATGACTCTCAGTCCCGATGCAGCCTCCTTCCTTCTGACAAGTTTTCATACTATAAAGCCTGTCATGGCCTAGGGCTTTAACCTCATTCTTCATCACTATCCTTGTGGCTCTTATATCATAACCTCATTATCTGAGCTGCCTGATGCAAATAGAAAGTGCGATCCTGATAGCTCCTGAAATATTCTTCTTAAGTGTCTGATACACAAAAAGTGCACTAGTTCTTTAGTCTAAACCAGATACATCCATACATGGAACACACCTATGTAACTAATTAGATGCATCCATACATGGAACACATTTATGTAACTAATCAGATGTATACATACATGGAACACACCTATGTAACTAGTTTCCATATGAGCAAACAATCCCACATATGGGCATACACAGAACACACTTATGTAACTAATCAGATGTATACATACATGGAACATATCTATGTAGCTCATTCCAAGATGAGCAAACAATCCCACAACACGTGATAGGTTTTGCAGTGCTTAGTCAAATTCATCAGATACGTTTATTGCGTGCTTACTGTGTACAAGATGCTAAATGAAGTATGGGTGGCACAAAAACAGAATACAAAGGCACACATGCAAACAATTATTATGGCAAGCCTAGATAAAAACCCAAAGGAAGGCAAATCTTAAGTATTGTGAGAGATTCTGAGAAGGCTATTCATTAGTTTGATACGATTATAAGGGACAGAGTGAGTCAGAGGAGGTCAAAAGACTCCACGGCAAAGATGGTTAAGTTGTACCAGGGAGACACTCATTTTAAGAGCGTGAAATAATCTCAAACAAAAGGAACTTAAAGGGGATGGTAGATATGCCTCTAAGATCTGAGTGGAAAACTGGAGCAGGAGGTTATCTGCAAGGGTGGACTGCAACTGGGTTTAAAGATTTGGTAGAAGGGATAGCAAGGAAACTGTGGAAAGTTCAGTGAAGTGAGTGACATGATCAGAGTTCGGCTTCAGAAAAGGGCGTGGTCCAATAATATTATTGGTATTAGCAACAACTGTCTATAAAAAGTTATGGGTCTCCACTTGTTTAATAAGATGAGACTCACAGCAGGAAAGGAAGGAGTCATCTAACAGTGATGTGGACATGGGTGAAATGCTGATTCTGCCCACATCACATTAGCCTTCTGGGTAAAAGCTTTGAACAAAGTTCATTTAAGAAGTCCCTAGTAGAAAGCAACGGAAGGGGGTAGGAGTGTCGTGAACATGCTGTCCGTGTGTCGTTATAGGTAGGGGCCGATATATGTGGCTTTGCCCAGGACACATATGAGGAGCTCTGCAGGCGCTGGATGCAGCTGGGGGCATTTTATCCGTTTTCCCGGAATCACAATGGCCAAGGCTACAAGGTAAGTCAGCTGGGAAGTATAATCAAAGTACATTGGGTGTGCATTACAACTGGATGTTTGATTGCCACCATGAAATCTGTTGAGCCAGCTTTGTAATATACTGTATGTATGCTGATTTGGGACCCACTTGCTATGAATGAGGACTTGCTGATCATAGAATGTCCCAATGTTCCAGTCTCTCACTTTTTGCTGTCATTGGGGCAAGTCTATTTTTTTTTTTTTAAATATAGTTACTGGCTGGTCATTTTGTGTGGATGGCTTTCTTGGGTCTAGAATCTGGAGATATATATTTTAATAATGATGTTATGAGTCAGCCTGATGCTGGGTGAGTGTGGCCCAGCTCTTGAGAGGCAGAGGCAGATGGATCTCTGGATTCTAGGCCAGCCTGAACTACAATGAGAGTTCCAGGACAGCTAGGGGTATACAGAGAAACCCTGTCTAGAAAAACCAAAAACCAAACCAAACTAAAACAAACAAACAAACAAACAAACAAACAAAACCAGTCAATTTTTAAGCAAAGGGATAAGAGTTCACGATCGAGCCTGGATGCAGTGACACATATCTCTAATCCTAGCTATTAGGGAGGTAGTGGCAGGAGGATCAGGAGTTCAAGACTAGTCTGTGCTACCTAGCAAAGTTGTTTTAAAAATTCATAAATGAGAAATACAGATAAATACCTTGTTGTGGAGAATGATTTAATTAGATAACCATTTAATTAATATTTAATATTTAATTAATCAAATATTTAGAGTAATTTAATTAAATAAATATTTAATTAATATTTAATATTTAATAAATAGTTAAAATAATTGGCTGCAGAGTCAGCAGCTGGCACAAAGCTCACCCTTTACAAGGCAGCTGGAGGAAAGTGTCACAGAATAGAAGGTTAGTCAGATGCTAGGAAGCTGACAGGGGCTATCACATCATTAAAACAAAAACGGAAATCTCAGAAAGCTAAAAATAAAAACGAAAATGACGAGGCTTTAAATGTTTATAAAACCTTTTTGCAGTCTTCCTACATTGTATGTTTTTGTAATGAGAATGAAGATGGAGAAACATTTCAAAATTATTTAACTAAGGCTTAATTAATTAATTATGCCTCTTAACTGGGTAGTTCTAATGTGTGAGTGAGATAAGGTGAGCTGTAAGTTGCGATGGCAGCTTATTCAGTGTCATCGTTCAGTTCTTCAGCTGTGTCACTCAGAGACAAAGGGAAACCAAGGCCCCAGATCATGCAGCATGAAACTCTGGGTCATGCTGCACATTCTCTGAAATCATTCTTGGTATAGACAGCTTTCCTATAGTCAATCCACAACTGCAAACTCTTCTGTTTTTTAGGACCAGGATCCTGCTTCTTTTGGAGCTGACTCCTTGCTGTTGAATTCGTCTAGGCACTACCTTAACATCCGCTACACTCTGCTGCCTTACCTCTATACTCTTTTCTACAGAGCACACAGCCGGGGAGACACCGTAGCTAGGCCTCTTCTGCATGAGTAAGTCCTCCTAACATTCTGTTAATGCAAACTGGGGGTTGTTGACTGCGTCAGAATATCAGAGTAAAATATAAAATCACCCAAGCAGGGTATTCAGGTGTGTGTGTGTGTGTTTGTGTGTGTGTGTGTGTGTGTGTGTGTGAATGTGCATTGTAGATCAGTCCCAAGGCTTTGCATGTACTGGTCAAGAAATCTACCACTTTCCTACACCTCCCAACTCTTTTTAGTTGAACTTGAAAGATCTTAAAACGAGGCTCCGTAATATGCATATATGTACTATGATGCTAGGATTCTGCTGAGTCTCGAGAAATAAGACTGTAATTTGTAGGTAAAAATCTCAAAAATGATCCTGAGAATTCCATTATTCTTATTAGCTAGCCAGTTGAAATCTCTGATTTAACTCAGCAGGCAGTTTCTTGGGAACTTTTCCTTTTCAAAATAATGCTAACTCACTTAAGTGTTGCAGATGCAAACCTTAGACATGTACACACACTCATGATCACTTCTGGGGTAAAATTTTAACCTCCTGGAATTCCTTGTTTAAAAGCAGATATTTTAGAATAGAAAATTTAAAATTGTGTATATTCTGGTTTTGTTTTGTTTTGTTTTGTTTTTTTGGTCTGATGCAGTTCTTTACTTTTGTTGTGCTTGTGGGAGGGGATAAGGCCGAGAAGTGAGCTTTGGGCCTTGTACATAGTCCACAAATACTCTGCCACTGAGCTATATGCCAATTCTTTTTAACACTTTTAGTTTTGAGACAGGATCTGTTAAATCCCTTAGGTGGGCCTATAACTTTCTCTGGAGCTCAGGAAGGACTTTAAGCTGTGGTCATTTTGACATCCACATATCTGGAAATGCTGGCATTGAGCTGCTAGCTCCAGCCCCAGATCTTTTTTTGACAATAAGCTGGTCATAAAATTTGTAGGTTATCTTACTTAGATTTCAATGGGAGATACAGCAAATAATATTGAAGCCTGGGGTCTGCCTGGAATAGATACTGGAATGGGAACTTCTGTGTCACCTAGGGGAATGGCAGGAAGGTATATGGGCTGTACTGGAATGGGAACTTCTGTGTCACCTAGGGGAAGGGCAGGAAGATATATGGGCTGTGGACAGAGATCTGCATGGGGTAGAGGGAGGTGAAGCAGAGTGGATATCATACAGTGATGATTGTGGGTGTTTTCCAGGTAGCCTATATGCTTTAGTTAGATTGTGGGGGAGATTTTAGGAGCACTGACCTACCTCTCTGTGACCTATCTCTTTGATATCTAGGTTCTATGAAGACAGCAATACTTGGGGCATAGACCGGCAATTTCTGTGGGGACCAGGTCTCCTCATCACTCCTGTTCTGGATCAGGCAAGTTTTCTCATGGAGGCAGGCAGGCACCCTCTGCCTCTGTTCCTGCTCATTACCCCTCCCCCCCAAATCTCCTCTACCCTCTATTACAGACTCACTGATGATATCTGGTTGGTTGGGTCAATAGAGAAGATTATCCAGGAGCACTTTGTAGTAGTATATCTGATATTTTCTTTTTCTTTTTTTTAAATAATTTATTTATTTTTTTTCTCAAATCATAATTCATTCACACAGGGGTTATAAACGCAGAAAGACAGGATGTGGGGAAGGGAATGACACTGGAGTGTGGGTGTTCAGGGGGAATACAGATATCTTTCAGAACCAGGTATCAGCTGGGTGAAGGTTCAGAGGACCGGTCACTATGACTCTGCCTATGACTCGCTTGTCCTTATCTAAGTTGGTATTGTCTGTCAAGGCTACATATTTACAAGGTCTATGACTACTCAGGCTTGTAAATTTTTACAAAAGCTGCCTGTTTACGATAGTTTATAGCCATCTGTTTCAATGTTTTTCCACTGAGACCCAAGACTTGGTGTTAGTATACATGTATGACAGGCCTATTGCTGATTTTAGGCCTATGACTGATTTTAGGCCTTCAGTGTGTAAGCAGGGCTGCCCCTGACTTCTCTTCCCTTCTCTAAGTATAGAAGGACTCTTTTTCTAGGCAAGTTCTCAGTCAGTGTAAAAGCACCTACTGGTGACTTTGATTTGGGAATGCGCTTGTGACTCGTCAGCTCATTATAACTATTATGGCTCTGAGATGAGGAGCCACTATGAAGCAGAGGCCAATCCTCACTCCGAAATCAAAGGTTTCAGAGTAGATGATCTTTGCCAGCTAGGTGGGAATGCAGGCTTCTCAACTTTAAAGGCAAGAATTATAACTGCATCTAGTGAATGAGGCACAGAGAGGATTAAAAGAGACAGTTCATAGAAAGCTGGAATTGTCCCCACAGAGCATTTCATTCATTGTTTTTGTCTCTAATTATAATCCAGCCCATTTGTGCCCCCCCCATCCAGACTATCTCATATCTGTACTAGAAAAATGGAATAGTTCAACAATGGGGTGGGGGAGGCTATATGTTCTCCGAATACGGCTAGGAATTCCCTGCCTCAGTCTAAGACATCCTTATGTCATCAGAGGCTGCGTCTTGAGGATAATTTTTTTTTTAAATTTAATTTTAGGGTGCAGAGAAAGTGAAAGCATATGTGCCTAATGCCACCTGGTACGACTATGAGACCGTAAGTAGCTGGAACTCTTCTTAAACTCAAGAGTGCAGCTGCAGCTGCATAGGGTGACTCTCTAGAGCTAGGGTCCCACCATTCACGCATGGAGGAGTTCCTTTGCAGTGTTTTCTATAAGTTTACAGCACAGCTTTGGAGGAGTCTGTCACTTTAACACTTCATTCAGCAAGAATATAAAGACTCAACACGCTTCTCATGGGCAAGTATTAGAGAGCCTCATGGACGATTTGAGCTTAGCCAGAAATCAGATGATTAGCTCAGAAGTATCAGTTCTCATAACATACATTAAACAGGCTCAGCAGGGCAGAAATGTTTTACAAACCCTGAGCTGACCTACATTTTAGTCTTCCTTTCCTTTGTTTGTCTGGGTAGAGAGTAATTCTGCTAAATCCTGCTAAGTAGAAAGAGATAGCGCTGTCAGGAGCTCAGCAGGACGGAGGTCCACAAACAATGAAGCCAATGTGTTTGATTTATCTGCCTGCCTCAGGGAGAGCAATTGGCATGGAGACAGCAAAGCATTGAGATGGAACTTCCTGGAGACAAGATTGGACTTCACCTTCGAGGGGGCTACATCTTCCCCACACAACAGCCAGCCACAACCACAGAAGTCAGGTATAGCATGGGATTCTTTAAGAGGGCACAGGGCTGACAAAGGGCAACATGTCTGGGATAGTCTGCTCCAGACTGTGGGTTTGAAAGGTGCTGGAGTGAAGTGTGTCTTTTTGGACTTTACTTGACCTTTTTCTAGAAGCTTATGGCCTAGAGCTGTACTCTCATTGGTTTTGGAAGGGTTTTACTCTATCCCTCTCCCAGTCTCTCTGCATGTGTCAGAACACACTGACAGCTAGAATGCTCTGTCTTCTTGGTTTGCAAAGGCGTGTTCAGCATTGGCATTGAAAGTCTCATGTCTTTGGAGGATTCCATTCTGGGCAAACCTGGTTAGATGATCACCTACCTGCCTTCACCCACGTGTCTGTTGGTGGTTCTCTGCTCTTGGCCCACAAACTCACATGTCTAGATTTTAGATCCACTGTCTACCTTTTTATAACCATTACCTTCCTTTCCATTCCTTCCACTGAGCTCTTGCCTTCCTGTGACGAGTGAAAGTCCAGGTACTAGGCTAAAGGTTAACAACTGAAGTGTCACTTATACTTGCTGGGAGAGGGAAAATCAGTTTTGTCCAATAGAGTGACATTGGGTATATCAAGCACTCCAGAACAGGCCTTATTTTCAGGAGTAGCTGACTGACATATGATGGACTCCAGTTTTTGTTTTTGTTGCTGTTATGTTTGTTTGGGTTTTTTGTATGCGATTTTTCTGTGTGGTATTTATTATTTTCTTTTCGGGTGTGGTTTTATTTTGTTTTATTTATTATTTTTTGCTTTTGCTTTTTTGTATTGGGCTTTTGTTTGCTTTTTTGAGAAAACTTAAAGTTGGGTCAGTGGTGGGGGAAAATCTACAAGGATTTATGGGAGGGAAAGAATATGACCAAAATATATTTAAAATTTAATAACTTTTAAAATTATATAATAATATAATATAATATAATATAATATGATATAATATATACTTACCCATATTAAAGATTTCTGCTCATCATTGACTCCAGTTGTAGACTCCATCTTCACTACACTGAAGAGCTGCATGTTTCTGTCATGTGTCTCTGAAACTATTCCCTTATTTGATTTAATTTATTCTTCATCAATTTATTTATTTATTCATTTTAAATTCTAATCTGCTGTCCTTCCTGGTCTCCATGTCATGGAATTTCTCCTTCTCCTCTGAAAGGATGCCCCCCCTTCAGGTATCCTCCCACCCTGGCACATCAAGTCTCTGCTAGGCTCATCTTCTCCTGCTGAGGCCAGGCAAGGCAGCCCAGTTTGGGGAACAGATTCCAAAGACAGGCAACAGCTTTAGAGACACTCTCTGTTCCAGTTGTTGGAGGACCCACATGAAAACTGAGTTGCCCAAATGCTACAAGACATACAGGGACAAAGATGGAGCCGAGACTGGGGGAATGACCAACCAATAGCCTGCCTAACTTGAGATTCATCCCATGGGCAAGCACCAATCCCTGACACTATTAATGATCCGCTGTTATGCTTCCAGATAGCAACCTAGCATAACTGTCCTCTTGAGAGGATCCACCCAGCAGCAGACTAAAACAGATTAGGAGACACAGAGCCTAACACTGAACAGAGCTTGGGGATTTGTATAGAAGAGTTAGAGGAAGGATTGAGGGCCTTGAAGGTGATAAGAACTCCACAGGAAAACCATCAGAGTCAACTAGTCTGGACCCTTGGGGGCTTGTAGAGACTGAGCAACCATCCAAAGAACATACACTGGCTGGACTGAGATCCCCAACTCATATGTTGAAGATGTGCACATTATTTGATTTTAATATGCTGAGAATTCTTAGAATTCTGAAAACCAATGTTTTCCAATGAACTACACTTATTATCATAAAACTTCAAATGATTGTCTTTTTGTGAAAATAAATACAAAGACTTCTGTTTTCTTTTCTTATTTTAAAATTGTTTAGTACCAGGTTGTTTTGCACATTGCTACTGAATTTTCCCTTCCTAAAATAAAAACATGGACCTGGCTTGAGATCTCGGCTGCAAGGGTAGAATGTTTAGAAGCGACTGAGCATAGTTTCACATTGCCTTGACCAGCAGTTTTCCTGGAGTCCTTTCAGTACACAGGCCATCCCTGGCAGAGCATGCTACTCTAGACCCCCAGCTGTCATCTGTCTTGATCCATTTCAACTTCTCACCCATCATGCTTTTCAAAAGTCTATGTGTATTTGAAAAATGCATTTTCACTGGAGCTACATCCATGCCCACTTTCAATTGCTTTCTCAGAGGCTGGAGTCAGATGTTATTTCCAACTCTCTGGCAGAGTGCTTGCAATTACTTCCAAACTCCTGGTGATCTATGTTTGTCTCACAAGACAAAATAGCAAGTAATCAAATAAGGAAAATGGCCATTCCATATATGTTCCTATTATATAATTTTGGTTGATCAGAAAAGCTGTCTTATGGGGGAAAAGTGTGTCTTCTTCATAGCAATTGACACTTCACCTTGATCATGAGATGTAAATACTCAGCCATAGCACTATTGTGTAGGATTTCTTCCTCTTCTGATTCTCTGTCTTCTAAATGGTATTTTCAGCCACAATTTTTTAATTGTACCTATTGATTCTGGTCTCATATTCCTGCCTCCTTCATATGTATTTACGGCTATGCTTTACGGTGTTTCCATCCCATGTGAACTATTGATACTAGAGAGAGAAGCACCTGCCAATCTTGTCTTTGTATTGGAAGGAAAACAGCATCAGCTGCTAGTAGTAACTTTTCCCAATAGAAACAAATGCAAATGTTTGTCAAAATCTTTTGAGCCCCAAGGACTGTGTCTTATGTGAATCTGCTCCCCACAGCCGGAAGAATCCTCTTGGTCTTATCATTGCTCTGGATGAGAACAAAGAAGCAAAAGGAGAGCTGTTCTGGGATGATGGGGAGTCGAAGGGTGAGTGCCTTGAGAGGGTGTGGCCAATGCACAGATCTGCACCAGGCTCTGTTCCTTTACTTCTGCTGATCATTCAGCTGTGGGTGATATCTCACCAGGCATCCTAGCAGTAGCATCCCAGAGAAAACTTTTGTTTCTGGTTGTACTGGTCAGAAGCTATGATGGATGAACGATAGATAAAGGGCACCTTTCTGTCTTTGTCTCTGTATCTCTGTGTGTCCCTTTCTGAATTCCTTGTCAGTAATATCTCTCACTTCATTTTTACAAAAGAGATTTACATGACTGTTCCTGTAACTCACCTTCACTGTAAATATCTTCCACCCAAGTCCTTGGGGCAGGGACTATGATGATATGAAATGGATACCCATGTTGGGGAGGCAGCAAGCACAGCACACACATTCCTGATTATGAGCACTTACCATTAACATGTTCTCTCTCTCTCTCTCTCTCTCTCTCTCTCTCTCTCTCTCTCTCTCTCTCCCCTCCTCCTCCTCCTCCTCCTCCTCCTCCTCCTCCTCCTCTTCCTCCTCCTCTCTCTCTTGTCTCCAATGCACTACAATTCTTTAGGCACTCACGGGGAAAAGAGTCCAATGATCATTGTTATGGGAGCACTGCAAAAGATCTTTTCTTAGTTATAGTATTAAAGAAAAGACACTATACAACCTCCAGACTCTGCACATATAGGCATTGTACACTGGTTACCGTAATGTTCATTGATGCCATTGCCACTAATGGCAATGCTGGCTCTCTGAAATTTGTTCTTATTTCGGTTCATAGTCTTTGAACAGGTTTTCTTAATTTACCATTCTACCTGCCCCTGAAAACCATACTGTTCTGTCCTCTATGTCAGTCCAGTTATTTAGCTCTTTTATAACCTGAGACCATGCATTGCTTCTCTTTATTGTCTCACTTACTTATATCTGTATAATATGATCCAGATTCACTTCTGTTGTAAAAGTGCAGGGCTTTACTACTAAAGAATATTCCATTGTGTATGGGCACTGCAATTCTTTTAGTCACTCATCTTCTGATAAATATGTTTGTTGTTTCATCAATTTAGGTATTATGAAAAAATGGTCAATGGACTTAACATAAAACTCTTAGGAAGAAATCAGGAGAAAGCTATTTTTATATTGGGCATGGTGTTGTGATTTTAAATATGACATGAACAAAGGCATCAAATCATAAAATAGATAGTCATTATGGAGCACAGAGTAGACACTTCTTCACATGTTGAAAATACAACTACTACATAGCATGAAGTCTTATGTTTACATATGTACCACCCCAAAGAAATGAAAATGGTGTGTCACAGATACTTGGCCCCTCATATTCACTGTGGCATCATCCAGCAAAGATCCAGAAGCAGCCAAAGTGTCTGGTTGATGAAAGAGGAAAGAAGTGTAATCCATAGACCTGTTGAAGTGCTCAGCAGTCAGGAAAGGAACGAGGAATCAGTTTTATTTTTCAATTGAATATTACTAATTGTTTTTACCTATTCACTTTACACCCTGCTTATTGCCGCCTCCCAGTCACTCTCCACAATACTTCTTCCATCCCAGATTCTCATCCGAGTGGGTAGTTGCCCCTGGGTATCCTCCCACCCCAGCACTTCAAGTCTTTGCAGGGCTACATTCATCCTCTGCCACTGAGGCCAGACAAGGCAGCCCAGATAGAAGAATGTAGCCTATGTACAATCAAAAGCTTTGGGATATCCCCCATGAGGAATCAGTTTTAAGGAGAAGGTGAAACTGTTCTTCTTTGTACACCCGGACAGTCTGACTTTGCTTTCTTCTTTCAGATACTGTGGACAAAAACATGTACCTTTTCAGTGAATTTTCTGTCACTCAAGTGAGTAGCATATTTTTTTATGAATATTGTGTGGGGTTTGCCTGAAAATGACTATATTATGTTCTGTATTTATAATTTAATTATCGACATGTACCAGAGGTAAATAATTGCTATTTATGACTTAATTCATAATAATTATATCAGCTTTGTTATCAATAAGAGGCAGTAGTAATTAGGAAGAAATCAGCTATTATTGTAAGACACAATTCTCTAAAAGGTCTGAGAGTTTCGTCCACTCTCTCCATTGGCTTATGAAAATAAGTTCGCTTCCCCATCAACATGCAGCAGTAGGGAAATTGAGAGGCCTTCAAAGCAGCTCAGGGGTGTGGTCTAGGATAGAGTGTTTGACAGTCTAGGGAATCTACATGTTCATAATTTATTCATAATTATGCTTGGTATGTTTCAGAACCGTTTGGATGTGACAATTTCAAGTCCAAACTACAAGGATCCCAATAACCTAGAATTCCAGGAAATCAAAATCCTTGGGACCCAGGAATTCCGCAATGTTAGAGTGAGACAGAATGGGGCTCTCCTTCAAATGTCTCCTCAAGTCACTTACAATTCAAACCTGAAGGTAAGAATTCCTTTTGTGAGGAGGCTTTCCACAAACCTCCGTGGGGTCATGATGTTACTTCTTGCTAAGATCACTTGGGTTGCTGAAGGACCAGAGCACACCTGAGACCAGGTGAGGGGGTTAGAATATTGGAGAAGGAAGGTATAAACAGATGTCAGAGCCACCATGCCTTCAGTTTTCCCCTCCTTATTCTCTTCTCGCCTTGTGTTTGGTTTTCTCTAACTGGGTATGGGGACAGGATTCAAGGAAAGGACTCTGAAAGTTCATGGCTTGTGCTCTAAGGTGAAGGTAGAGAAAGAGATCATATGAATAAAAAACTACAGGGGTTTTATTTATTTAATTTTTAGTGGTCCTTTCCTTTTCTTAAGCTTTATCAAGACACATTGTATGTTCCCCAGCATATGCATTTGCAAGAAATATTTTATGGAAACAGAGTTGATGGTGCTAACTAACATTGTTTGAGTCAGGATGGTCAGAAGTACAATTAATATAAATGAAAATATATGTAAGTATTAAGAAGGTGTCTAAATCAAAATTGGTTAAGTATCTGCTTTGGTCTTAATTGATGTCCAAAGCTTTGTAGAGTAGTTGAGGCCAGCTTTCTGGAGAAGGCATGGATGGAACATCACCTTGAAAGATAGCGTTTTATGGATATGGAGAGATGGCTCAGCAGTTAATAGCACTGGCTGCTCTCCCTGAGGTTCTGGTTTGATTCTTAACACCCAAATACTATCTCCCAAACATCTGTAACTCTGGTTCCACAAGATCAAGGGATCTGAGGTCACTTCACACACATAATGCAGGCAAACCACCCATATACATGAAAACAGATTGGGTTTCTGAAGTTGATGTGACAAGATGTCTGAAGCAGAAAAGTTAGAAGGTTTTTATTTTGTAATTAAATTTTTGAAGTTGAAAACTTGGTGTCAGTATTCAGTAGTTGAATTTTGTGATAAGTAAGGTCTATTTTCTCTCTGAATTGGAATGGGCTGAATCGATCCAGTCACAATGCTATATTATAGGAAAAAGGAAAATAGAAAAAATAAGCATAGAAAAGAAAAAATAGAGATAAAGCTGAAGGGTAAGGCCCTTCTATCAAGAACGAAACCTTGTTCCCAGCAAATGAACCCAAATTGAATTTTATGGCTGGGTTTATGCTACAGTCATTACATTTTCAGTCACGAATTGGAAGAATCTCTTATTTAAAACTGAAAAGCACATTTTACATAAAGAAGATAGCTAGTAATGTATTCCAAAATGGCCTTGTTTTCCCAGGGAGTATTTGTCTTGGAAATAGTGTTCAAGTTGAGTTAATAGAACAACATCAAAGGGCTCAGAAGTCTCAAATTATCAGTCTGTAACCGCATACCAGGCTTAGGATGTTAGAAATGGAAGTTTATATATGTTATTTCTCACTCTTCAATCTTACACTTAATTAGTATACCTGAGATCAAAAAATTGAGGGAATTTGTGTAAGATTCCAGAGAACACTGGTATTATACCTTAAGCAACATTACACATGTGCCCTATAATCTAGGCACTCCACATCAAAGAGGGGCATGATACTGGGAGGTGATGAACAAGAAAGAATAACTTAGTTTGGAAATAGGAGGAGAAAATATTTCTTAACAAATAAATGAGGGTCAAGTGGTTCATGGAAGGAATGAAAAAAGTTTGATCATAAGGGGCTTTCCTTGGTTTCTCTCTTTCGACAACGAAATATAGAAGGTTTTCATAAAATAGTTGTATTTCCTTTGTTACTGACTATACCCTAAGGACATATACACTTGTGCCCTCATTTGCTGTGGTGTTTTGTTGAAAATACTAAAAGCAGAGCATAAGGATAGACTAAGAATAACATTTATACTTAATTTTCATAAAAAAGTTTCAGGTCTTTTAAAACTTTTGTGCTGAGGATGAATTTTCATGATTTCAGGTTGCCACCATCACAAATATCCATCTCATGCTGGGAGAAGCATATACAGTTGAGTGGGGCTTCTCCACAAGGGAGGAGGAAAGGATAGACTGCTATCCAGATGAGCATGGTGTTTCTGAGGCAAACTGCACTGCTCGAGGTTGCATCTGGGAGGTAACTATGTTGAAGATGTTCATGTAAACTGAAAGCCCTTGAAATACAATATACAAGGTCTTTATTACAGCCCTGTACCCATGGGTTTATTTAAATCCACAGAAAGGCTTCATATAAACATTGTTTAGGTTGAAGAGTGGGATGGGTAAGAGTGGGATGTATTTACTATGTTGTTTTGAGACAAGAATTTAAATTCATGCTTATGTAAATGTTATAGATATGAATGAATGTACCTATGGCTTTCTCTACAGATAATTTGTCTCTTCTAACTCTATTTGATAACTCCATATGTCTGCTGATATAAGATGCTGACTTTATTTTTCAGGTATCCAGCACTCCTGGGGTCCCTCATTGCTACTTTGCTAATGAGCTGTACTCAGTCAGCAACATTCAGTATGACTCACATGGGGCCACAGCTGACATCACCTTGAAGGCTTCTTCTTATAGCAATGCCTTCCCCTCTACACCTGTGAATCAACTCCAATTGAAAGTGACCTACCACAAGAATGAAATGCTGCAGTTTAAGGTAAATACAGAGTGTGCAGGGCTTCTCCAGTTATCGTTTTCTTTGCTGCTTTGTGTACAAAATTCTTACAAAATGTTTCATTTTCATAGCAAAATACTGTAGACTATCATCTGAGTAATGAGATCAATTAGAAATCTTGTGCAATAAAGACACCTCTCCTAATTTCAAATTGAGGAAATCTCTGTGTCTTAGGGAAATGGTTGTGAGAGAACACATGGAGAGCAAGCAGATGAGGCTAGTAGGAAGACAGGACAGTTATGGCTGAGTTTGTTTTGGAATAAGAAAGGAGATGGGGACCAGTGGATGTGTTTGAGACTTTGAGATCATCTGCATTATTGAGATACAAATGGAACATGCCCAAGAAATCACTAGCATGTTGCTAAATTGCATATGTTTCTATGGATGGTAGTGCTGTTAACTGAAATGAGAAAACTGAGCTGATTTGTTACTGAGAGTATAAGAAGAAGAGTGTTATTTTTAATAGAACAATTGGAGACATCTCTAAATTCTCATGAAAGTGTTTGCTTTTCCTTCCATGAGTTAATTGAACCCAGGAAGTAGGGATTGACTAGTTATCCTGTTGTTTGTTTCCTTATTAAATTGTGAGCAACTCCTAGAAATGGATTTATCTTCCACCATGGTAGGATTGGATCCCACACAGGCTGGTACATAGTGAGTTATCAAATGCTGTGGGGAACATATAAGTCAGTGATCAAGACAGAGAGTCCTCGCCTAAGGGAGCCCTGAGTATCTGTGCTCCATCTGTACTTGAGTTCTATGTCTTCTACTGTGATTTGTTTTATGTGTGTAGCCTCATCAGAATGAAGCTGATTGGGTGTGCAGCCTCAACTCCTCCCCACTAACAATTTAACTGTACAGTAGCTGTCTTCACAATGCTTGTCTTTCTGAGCCCACATTAATACTCTGAGTCTTTGTGTTTATTGTTTCTTTACCAGAACTGTTTCCTCTCATTTTTTGTGCTTGGTTTTCTGCTGGAAAGCTTTTAAGATTCATCTTGAATTTCTTTCATGAATTAACTTTAGTGACCTTTCAGCATTTCCTTCCCTGTAATCACTACAGGATTTATGTTAGCTCATATTCTTCTGGTATGGTGAGTTCTTTTATGTTAATCGCAATGAGTCATCTGATTTTCACTCCAATAATCTTGGCATATTCAGTTCCTATTCCTGTTATTTACTATCATATCAGCAAATGAACTTTTACTCTTAATCACTCAGTCTTGTATTAAAATTTCAGCACTTTTTTAAATCCTAAGAAGTTCATTTGTTTTAAATGCATCATTTACATGTCCACATATTTGTACACTCACATACCAAATATATACCATATATTTATAAATCCCACACCAATTTCAGAATGAGTTTTTCATGTTAACCACAATGTTGAAATGGATAAAATTTTCTAGAACCCATATTAATGAGACTTGACTCAAACCAAGTTGACATTGGACATTGTACACAGGTAGATTGATTAAGCCTTGAATTGTGAAGTTACAGAAGACCAAAAAATATAAGATTCAATCTCTGTCAAACATGCTAAGAGTATGTTGAGTTATTCATCTCTAGATTACTATGCTTCTGAAAGTGTTGTTTTGAAATGACTGATAACTGTGAATATTTGCACTATTGATGCCATGCTTTTACAGCTTTGTGTGTTATGCAGTGATTAGTTCAGTATACTTAGGTATATCTGGTGTTTCAATCCTCTAATATTTTGTGAGGTAGTAATTCAAAATTCATATGACATTTTGAATTGTACAGTGTAATATTGTTAATTATTATCACTGTCAGCATTCTACATCATAAAGTAATGGCATATGTTATTCTTTACATAAAATGGTTTCTTCTGGCTTAGATCTATGATCCCAACCACAGTCGATATGAAGTCCCAGTCCCTCTGAACATCCCCAGTGCTCCATCAAGCACTGAAGACCGTCTATATGATGTCCTCATCAAGGAGAATCCATTTGGGATTCAAATTCGCCGGAAGAGTACAGGCACTGTAATGTAAGTGGTTCCTGGTCTGAGTCTGTGTTACTGTTCTTCTAAATATTCCTCACTAGCTCATTGTCCTTGAAGACATCTGACTCAAAGCATCATACTGCCTATGTTCAAATCTATGATAGATCAGTTACTTTCCATGGCTGTGAGAAAGCAAACAAACAAACAAACAAACAAACAGATAAACAAACCCATGATCAAGAGAACCTTTACAAGAGTTGGAGTTTATAGCTTCAGAGAGTTAGACACTGTGATGATGAAATGGAGATAGGAAGAGGTGGGAGCAGGAAAGTTGAGAGTTTACATCTTGAACTGCAAACAGGAAAGAGAAAGTAACAGGAAATGGTGTGAGTCTTGAACTCCCAAAGAGTTTCTCCACTAGCATACTTCCTCCAGTAAAGTCACACAACTCAGTAGTCCACAAATAGTGACTCACTGGGGACAAAGTACTAAAAATGCCTGAAACTATGATAGAGGATACCTCAGTCTAACTACCACAATAAGGAAATGTGTTCTGCTCTTAGAGTAAATCTTTAATACTATAAGAGTGATTGCTGACATAGTTATAGGTTTGTGGGTATTGACTGAACAAATATTTACTTAATACTTTTTCTGTGTTAGATGCTGTTCTGTATTTGTGTTTCTAGAAATGTGTACCATTCCTTCTAAATTTTAAATTACTCTGTAAAGAGGAATTTGATACAGTGACAATTGCTTTGCTAGAAAAAGAAGGGAAATCACACTATGTGCTTATTTTAGTTGCTTTGATCTGAGTTTGTCTGTCTGAGGAAGAGGTGATGTGTGAAATAAAACCTAGGTTAGATGTCCCACAGAGAGTTCTTGAAAAAGAAAAATTTGTGATAGAATGATTTAAGTCAAGAACTGGAAGGAATTTATAAGTTATTATAGAGAGATCTCAATGATGTAACTAAGAGAATGAAGGAGGGAGATAAAGTCCGGATGCTAAGTGGGCTTTAGAACAGGAACAGCCTTGGAATCTCCATGGGAGTCTCCCATGAGAAGTGAGCAATATGAGAGCAAGACTGTGAGGTGGTGTGAGGTGCTCATATCGCGGGCCTGGGTACATGTAGAAAGTGAACCATCAGGGGTCAAGAGCTGTAGGTATTGGGAGTTTGATATAGGAGGGTGATAAAGTGAGTGGATTTGTTCCTGTGGACAACCCTAAAGAGACATAATGATATAGTGTAGAAGAAAAAGGAGGGGTGACTGAGACCCTTAGCAGGCATAATTGTGGTTACTTTAATCTATGAGACTTGCAGTTTTATTTCGAAGGGACTATAGTACTGATGGATGAAAATAAAGAACTCTGTGGTCTTTACAAAGCCAGCCGTTGCAAACCACTAGGAAGCTGATCTTATTTTTTGCAAATATTTCTTTCCTTTTTGCAGCTGGAACTCTCAGGTCCTTGGCTTCACCTTCAATGACATGTTCATTCGCATCTCCACCCGCCTGCCCTCCACATACATCTATGGCTTTGGAGAAACTGAGCACACGACCTTCAAGACAGACCTGAACTGGCATACGTGGGGCATGTTTTCCAGGGATGAACCTCCAGGGGTAAGTGTTTGTGGCCCGTGTTCTGTCTTCTCCATCCATTCTCTGTGTGTTGTGTTTTGTCTTTACAGATGTCTATTAATTGTTCCCTTCTACTTTTAGCCAAATGGACATATTTTTCTCCCTCTGTTTTTAACATAGAAATCAACTTAGAAATCAAATCAAAACATTCAACTTAGAAATCAAATTTCTGTAGAGTTTCTTTCTCATGCACAAATCTCCTAACATTTTTTTTCTTCTCATTATGACTCTCAGTATAAGAAGAATTCCTATGGTGTCCACCCTTACTACATGGGGCTGGAGGAGGATGGCAATGCCCATGGAGTCCTCCTGATGAACAGCAATGCTATGGGTAGGATGACACCTGTGTCCTCTTACTGTGTGCTAACCTTTTCTCAATTTCTTTAGAATATTTCTGACATAGTTGTCTAGAGATCAACTTAGTCTTTGTGGTATCAGTTTTCCTTCTTATTGACCCTTTATATATATTTAGTTTGTATGTAATTTGCTGAACTTTTAATCTACAATGCTTTTGTAGTAAATATTTCATATTAATCAGGGGTTTCTAGTGCATCTACTTCAGTTCCTAGATAAAAGACACAAAACTTTTATATTTAAAATTCTCTATATTTATCACATTTAATACATTTTTATTAGTATATATTTATATATATATTATAGATAAATATAAGTTTAAATTTATAATTCTTTAATTCATACTAAGATGAGCAAATATCAACATTTTATGATTATTTGGTCTACTGCCCTCCAAATAACACTGAATTAAGACTTGCCAGATATAAGCCTGGGTCACTTTTACTCCAACTGTCCAGCTCTCATGGCCAGTTCTCATGATCCTTTAACCTACAGCATCCTCTTCACTCTTCAAGTTTTCTCTCTCCTTTTGTGGTCTCTGCTTCAGACCTCAAGCGTGGGAACTGAAACAACACCTGCCCTTCTTCTGCACAGATTTAGGCTGTAGGTATCTTTATTCAATCAATAGTTTTAAACTAAGGAGCAAAGGTACATAGCTTCACTGGTATATGTGAGGATCTTCTCATCCTTAGGGGAAGGAAACCAGACCTTGGGGACCAGTATTTAGCATTACAATACATAGCAAAAGACCAAAACTCAATGCAATGATGCTAGTGAAAGCTTTCATTTAACTTCTTTAATACTGTGTTGACCTAATTCTGCTGTCCATATGTCATGACAGAAGAGAGGGAAAGTGGGGATTCCATGGTCAATGTTCTCAGCATAAAGGATTTCAACATGATGACATTTTTTTTTGTTTGTTTTCAGATGTGACCTTCCAGCCTCTGCCTGCCCTGACATACCGAACCACAGGGGGCATTCTGGACTTCTATGTGTTCTTGGGCCCAACTCCAGAGATTGTCACTCAGCAATACACAGAGGTAGGAAGAGATTTATTTATGAAATATGTTTGTGTGTATATACATACACTCATAATGTGTTCCAACTCTGCTGCACAGGATTGCCATATAATGTGACTATCATAGGGTATCTGAATTGATTGTTCTTTCTCAGAGGAAGATATAATATGGAATAAGGGAGATCAAATATATTCCTACCAATATTAGAATTGTGCTTTCTCCACTGATTGCAGAGTAGCAGAATATTTGTAGTGACTAGTTGTGGGGATAGGTGGCGCTATGGTAGTGTGATGGAGCCATGGTGTAGTAGAGCTATGGTAGTGGTGATGTTGATGGTGTGATTAGGGATGATGGTATTGAGGATAGTGGTAATGTTATTGGTGACGGTGATCATGAGGATAGTGACTGTTATGGAGAAATAAATGGTTGGGATGTAAATAGATCATGCAGTAATGAAAGTGGTTGTAGTAAAGTGGATAATGGTTAGAGTGTAATAATCATGTTCACGTTAGTGATGGCAGTGCTAGATGTGAAGATAGTTTTGGTAGTCATGGTGTTGGTGATGATGATTATGTCTGTTATAGCAATGGGAGATATGACAGCAAAGATTACATAGGACATTGTCATGATGGTTATAGTGTGTTGATAGAGATGATGATTGTATTGGCAGTGGTGGTGTGAGTCATGGCCACAGGGGACAATAACATTGTTAGTTACCAAATCAACATACATGAATGAAATATCCACTGCATCTATTTTTAAAGCACATGGGAGTGTGTCATGCATATTGTTACTTACTCAGAATCTGAGATTGATCCTGTTATTAGCTCTAATTCACAGGTAAAGGAATAAGCATAAAAATGTCACATACCTGTCCAAGTTCACACAATCATCAATACTTATAGACTACATTCTAAGTTAGCTATGTACCTCTGTGTTGTGTTTTTAATGTCTAAATTATATATATATAATCAATGTGAATAAAGTCAGGTTTTTCAGAATTCCTGTAATGTGTCCTTTAAGAAGTCTTCTGCAGTGTGTCCAGGGAGATCTGATTTGCCCCCCTCCCCATCCCAATACTTTCTCTCTGGATCTGAATTTGCTGTCTACATTTGGGTAAAATATTCTGATTTGATATCCAACTTTCATCCAGCTTCTCCTCTGAAGTTCTAATATTCTGTTTTCTAGCTGATTGGTCGGCCCGTGATGGTACCTTACTGGTCCCTGGGATTCCAGCTGTGTCGCTATGGATATGAGAATGATGCTGAGATCGCCAACTTGTATGATGAAATGGTGGCTAAGCAGATCCCCTATGTAAGTGCATATGTTAGGGATCTATTTTTCTGATTTAAGTGTGGTTTTAAGTGACACATTGTGCTTTCTCATGTCATATCCCACTGAGCCTAGAGCTTCTATATTGATTCAAAGGAGACCATGATCCTCATAGCACTGGTCGCTCAGACTAACAGTAAGAAGTTAAGACTGGTTCATCGGTGCTGTCTCCTATATCAGGCATTCCTCTGTTTCCCTTAAAGGAATGACTTGAAGATATTTAAGTATAGCATCCTAATTGACATGATAATGAAACGATGCTCCTATTCTAGTTTTGTTTAACTAAGAACACTAATCCAAACCCAGTGAGCTCATTCTAGACAAGGATTGCTTTCTTGGGTCCAGCACAGCACAATGCTCCCTGAGCCAGTCTTGAGCTTCTAGTTTGCTCCGTGATGGAATGTTGTATTGGGTTTCCAATGGAATCACATACAGAATCAATCACATGTATTTTAAAAAGAAACGTCCAATAATCAGAAATCATCTTGTGACTTTTTGTGCTTGCCTTGCATTTATTGTTCAATATTGTATTAGTGCAGCATACTTCCTGTAATACAGTGGTTCTCAAACGGTTGGGTTGTACCCCTTTGGAGGTTGAAGTACCTTTTCATGGAGGTTACCTAGTACCATTGGAAAATACAAGTATTTACGGTATGATTTACAAAAGTGGAAAAATTAAAGTTATGAAATGACAGTGGAAATAATTTTATGTTTGCGGGTCACTACAACATGAAGAACTATATTAAAGAGCTGCAGCATTAGGAAGGTTGAGAACCACTGTTGTAATAAAACATCTCAATCCAAGTTCTGTATTTGATCATCTCCAATATTGGGCCCTCTACAGTGATGATTGTTTTGTTTTTGTTTTTGGGTTTTAGTAGACTTATGATTCATATCATCTTAGGACTGAATATTTGACATTATTTTCTATAAACATATATTACCGATTTCAGGAGACACACATAGAGAAAATCAAAGGACTTTCTTCTATAGTGATTTAATCTGTCTTTATTTTTTCATAACAGTCCTAAAGATAGGCATTGATACTTATATTTTGTATTGATACTGAAATGAATTTATTTTTTGCTTCTGAGTGTAATTTTGCAAAATCAATTAATATCCAAAATGCAAAGCCATGATATGTCATAGATTGAAATATCCAGACACAAGCAGTGCTGACTGCTGGAGCCTGGACTGGCTCCACCATCAGCCAGTCTTCCTTGTGTCATCCCAGGATGTGCAGTACTCAGACATTGACTACATGGAGAGACAGCTGGACTTCAAGCTCAGCCCCATGTTCCTTGGGTTACCAGCCCTGATCCATCGCATGAAGGACGATGGGATGCGGGTCATCCTTATTCTGGTTAGTACCTGTGTGAATGTGTGGCTGTGAGTGGGACAATGGGTGGGATTGTGCAGGGATTCCCTCATACTGTGTGTCTGCCCACATTGTTAGGAGAGAAATGACATATGAAAAGTGTACTTATTGGGTTTACAGAAAGCCTATCATTTAGAACGAACCAGAGACCCTCTCAAAATTCTACTTTTTTTTTTTTTTACTATTACTTTTTGGTTCTTCCTTAAGTTTTCAAGCATGCTTTGTGCTCTGATTGCAGGATCCAGCCATTTCAGGCAATGAAACACAGCCTTATCCTGCCTTCACTAATGGTTTGGCAAATGACGTCTTCATCAGATATCCCAATAATGGAGACATTGTCTGGGGAAAGGTAAGAGCTAGCAATCTTCATCCTGTGCTAGACACCCTGTTAGTGTGTTTATAAATATGTTTTTACTACTTCCTTTTGCTCTCTGAGTTTCTGTTATTCATTTTAAAATCATTATTTGATGATTATTGTTAACAGTTAAGGGGTTTATAGACTCCACTTTTGCTTGGATCCTTCTCTCATAACCAAGAAATTCAGTGTATGAGAAATAGCTTGGGATATTTCTGTTGATCATTTTTTTTTTCATCACAGGTCTGGCCCGATTACCCTGATATTGTTGTGAACTCTTCTCTGGACTGGGACATTCAAGTAGAGGTAAAATGTTCTTGTGGATGCTGAGTCAATCAGGGTTTTTTGAAAGTAGCAGCAAGAACACTTGAAATTCCCATATATGTCAGTGGATATGGCTTGAATATACACTGAGAACATGGATAATCCTTCCTGACATTTGTTTCATGATGATCTTACATATACTCTCTGTTTCAAATTCATGTCTCACTTTGTACTGTCATATCAGTATTGTTATTTAGATTGAAGACTCAAAATACTTGGGTTATGTATCATAGTGCAATTGTGATTTCAGATGCAAACTTGTCAGAATCCAGAGGCTCATAGACTTTCAATTGGTTGACAACTCTAAGAATGATGTTTTTCTCTGAATTAAGGTGTTTTGTTTCTTTAGATATCATTTGTAGATAGGATGTGCATTCTGTATAGTGTTTGACTATTTTACTGCATGCCTTATGACCATAGACACCCTTCTACCCCTTCATAATTATGAATCCCACGTGATTCATGTGCGTTTGTTCTCCCCATCATGGCTTTTACCATGTCACTATTGCCTCGTATTGTACATTGCTCTCTAGCGGGCATAATTATTTTTCTTTATGATGATTCTAAGTATCATCTGCTTCTTGAATTGCAATTTTTCACGATTATCAGTAAGCTTTTGTTGTTTAGAAGCATTTAGCTCTGTTCACCCAATGCAGGGTTGCGGATCATTTCTCTGCTGTCAATTGTGGTTATAATGGATGTGCTCAGTGTTCTAAGAGCAGGAAAAGGTTTTGTGGAGAGTCAGTGACAAGTCTGGACTCCTTGCTTTTCTCTCCAGAAGAGACGTCTCTGTAGACAGGGATTACATCAAGGCATGTGAATCCTGTTCACCTTTCCTAGTGTAGCTTGGAAGTCAGAGAGAAGGCCCCATTATTTGGACACCTATTTCAGGTTGATGAGTGGACGCAGCTGCTCTCTGTGTGGTCAATGAATGGTATAAACTGTGGTTTTGAAACTATAACTTTCAAGATTTAATTAGATAAATATATTCATTGAACTGGTCACAAACATGGCCATTATGAGATCCAGCATTAGACATTCAGAGGACCATCACCAAGGGCCGTCTGGGGATTTTTTTTTTTTTTTACAATGTCATATTCTAGACAGTGTTCAGGAATAGAGGAGAAAGGCTATAGTTCCTAAAAAGTGAACTGGCATAAATTATGCCCAATATTCATGCCTTATGTAAAGGAATTCATTCTTAGAACAGATAGTTCTAGTACAGAAGAAAAATATTCTGTAGAACTCCACAGGCTAGGGAAAAGTGCTCAGGGTGGGCACAACTGATGTATACTACTAAGAACAGAAAACAGCACAGGAGAGTGATGCACTGATCACTGCCATTGATTTCTGGGCCTCTGCAAGCAAACCGCAATACCAATGCTTATGATCATGTTGCTTAGGTATTGAAATATGTATCTTTATTTTCTGGTAGTATATAAAGTAGAAGAAATAGAAACTGATTTGGTCAGGTTTCAAATACCACTCAAAATGCGTCAGATTCGGGTCAAGGTTGTTGCCTTTTTGCTATTGTGTAAGTATTATCTTCCTATCTATCTGTTTATCTATATGTCTGTCTGTCTGTCTGTCTGTCTGTCTATGTGTCTATCAGTTTATCTATCATCTATCTATCTATCTATCTATCTATCTATCCATCTATCTATCTACCTATCTATCTATCATCTATCTATCTATTTATCTATCATCTATTGATTTATGGAATCTTTATCCACATATCATCTATCTTCAATGTATCATTTATTACTTTGTGGGGATTAAGCAGAGCACAGAGCTTCTCAGTCTCTCCATCAGTTATTAAAGAACATAACTTGCAGTTGGTGGGGCAGGTATCCCATGTGAACACCTTAACATACCAAGTTCTTTTAAATGGGTCATGTAGTTCCTATCTTTACTGATTTTATGAATGGGCAGCTTCTTCTGGCTGCAATGATGCTATTTTCAACTGTCCTCCCCCTTGCCATTAAAGAAATTGGGCCTCCACCTCCTCCAGGAAAATGACTAGACGTAAGACTGGAAATCTAGAGTTAATGTTGCCTATCAGCAGATAAGCCAATAAGAAGACTCAGGAACTCTGCATCTAATAGCTACACTTTATTTAGAAAGCAGGTGATCCAGAAATGCAGAAAATTAACCTCCACACAATCTGTCTTCTTTTCTCATCTCCAGCAGACATATCATTAGGGAATAGAAACAAAAGCAGTCAGAAATTCCATCTCTTATGCCTCTGACAAAAAGTCAGCTAGTCAGCTTCTCTGGTTTACTCATTGTTGTCTTTCTGTGTATGGCAGGGTTCACATACTCCCAGCTGAGCCTCCCATGTGTCCAACAGGTTAAAAGTTAACTCAGAACAAACAAAGTAGTATATAGCATGTGGTATGTGTGTTGAGCTAGTTAAAAAGATGCATATGTAGATGCCTGTCTACAATATGAAGTGCAAAAATGATACATCCTATAGCAAATTCCATTCTCACTCAGATGTAGCTGGTAATGTTGTATATCGTGATACTCCATGTAACTTTTTCAAAAGCTCATGTCTCTGGCTTAATGTAAACTGGATCTCTGTTTCTGGGCAAGGTTCTCTTTGTTAGGTGCTTCATGATTTCTACTTCTATTTTTATACTAAAAGAAATTCTACAAGTCCTATATAGTATATAGTACCATTATGATTCACTGTGCCTCTCTGGTAAAGCAGCAATGCATGCTGAACTATTTCTGATCTGTTCTTCAACATCTTCTCTTGGGCTTTCTCTTGGTGTATAGGTTCTTCCTTAATAGACTGTTTGCTCGTTTGTGTAAGCACCGTGAAATGACTCAGCCAAGTCTTTCTGCTACTCTCTACCATGCCGTTCTTTTGCTCCTTGATGTTTGACGTTCTGTCAAGGACATAAAGAAGGCACACCAACCAAAATGTTGACAATAAATAGCAGGGGGAAGCATACAGATTTCTCTGGCTCATTTCTCTTGCTGAGGGGCATACATCCACAAGCAGGGAGAGCGTGAATGACTATTTATCTCTTATTTTCTCTAATTCTGTTAAACACAGTAGAGAATGCAAAGTTCAACTCGAAAACATAAGACAAGATCTTTGCTTCTAAAACCTGTAAAATGCAGTTAAGGAGTGATACATTGAACCCATTTTTCATATAAGATGTAGACACCGTTTTCATAATTTTAGGGTATAGAAAGATAAACTAAAATGGAAGCCTTTAGTCCTCCCACTATATGTTACATGTAACTGAAGGCTTCTTCTGGTTTGGAAATCAGAGCAAACAGAGAGTCATACTAGTTGGTGCAAAATCACAACATGCAATCTTTTTTCAACTTCTCTCCCAATGGGAAGGCTTCCTGATACCAGCCTGATACTCATCACCAGATACCTGACTTTTCGCTAATGTCTCACAGGACTTCTACCTTATCTCATCAGTCCTTAAGAAATGATGGACAATCGGGATGGGGTAGATAGCATGACTTAATGAGTATAGGGTGTTGATCACTTCCATTCCTATAGAAATGTAAGGGGGAATTTCCTGGATACTTCTCAGATTCTATGTAGATGGTATTTTATGCTTTCTTGCCTTATATGCTTTTCCAAGATAATCCTGTTCCACCTATCTGCTATAGAGTTGCTTTTACTCTCATTATCTTCGACCAGGCAGTATAAGGCTGCATGAGCCATGTTCACATTAAGTGTATTCTGCTTCCTAATGTAATCACTCATGACAAATAACCAAGTTTTCTTATTTTATAGCAATACCGAGCTTATGTGGCCTTCCCAGACTTTTTCCGGAATTCAACTGCCCCATGGTGGAAGCAGGAGATCCAAGAACTCTACACGAACACAGAGGAACCAGAAAAGAGCTTGAAGTTTGA